AAAAAAGGAAGAGGTTGGGGCTGGGGAAAAGAAAGAGCAATTTCTCAGCCTGAAATTCAGCTGTGGGGGAGGGAAAGGGGCTGGGGGAGCAGAGCTGGAGGGAAGGGGCTGGTTTCCTTCCACAGCTTTCCCTTCTTGGGGAGGTCACGGTGTGTGTGTAGGCTGGAGTAATTTACAGGACTACTGCAAATAAATAGGTGAATAATCGGAGTCTTCCTCTAAACAGAATGAAATACAAGAATTACAGCCCAAGGAGTGCAATTTCTAGTCCCTGCCTCCAGCCTATCCCCGCCAAGGCAGATAAGGACCCAGAGCCTCCCAACCTTCATTTTTGTGGCCAGAAAAAAAAGAAAAAGAAAAAAAAGGGAGATCCCTTTGGCTTCTCAAAAGCATAATTAACACATTGTTGGTGTGTGTCTGTATTGGAGCAATATGAACCACATCCAGTCCTTCTCCAGCCCTCCCCCCTTCTTACTGCCAGTCATCAACACACCCGGGCCGTAGGACTTGGTAAATTAAAAAAAAAAAAAAAAAAAAAAAAAAAAAAAAAGAAAAGGAAAGAAAGAAAGAAAAAAAAACCCTGGAGCTTATGTTTTCCTTAAAAAGGTGACCCGGCAGCCCCCGGGGTCCGTGTTGTGTTGTGATACGATGCTCACCCTCTCCTCCGAGAGAGGAGCCGGGGCTGTACAAGTCTGCTGACCTCGGAATGATCCCTCTTGCCTATGAATTATTGATGAGATATGAGCTCTGATTTCTCTTTTCAGTATGCAAACCCCATTATACTGTTAAAATGGCGATTTAATCGTTTAGAATAGCTTCGCTTTTTTCCAACTCATTTGTGCCCCTTCCTTTTCATTTAATTCTCTTAATTAAATCCTTTAACAGATTTTAATCACTTTTTGTTGAATAAAATAAGACATCATACACATCTGTAACTAGGTTACCTTGGCAAAGTTTGTTTTTGGTGGGGTTTCTTTGTTTTGGTTTTGTTTTTAGTTTGGTCTGCTCACTTTCTTAGTTGAGCTTTTAAAACCTGGGTGGAAGGAAATTTTATTTTGTGTTACGCTGTACCCAGTGAGCAAAGAAGGCCTAAAATGCACAACCACTTTAAATGAAAAAAAAAATCCTAAAAAAAAAAGAGAAATAAAAATAAATAAATCCATGACATTCAAGATGGCCTGACGACAGCACTGCAACACGGAGCTGCCTTTTGCATCGAAGTGCTCCCCAAACCTCCGTGCTGCTCACAAATGCATTTCCCTCCCCCCCCCCCCCCCCAATTATTGCTGAATGAACCTGGGAACCAAATGGGTATTTTATGGGTGAAACATCATCTTTTTCGCCCTTTGGCAGCAGTCTGGGCATGGGGGTCCCACGCCTGCCCTAGCACAAGGCCCTGGGGAGATGCCCCAAAAGGCAGCTTGAAGGGGGGGGCTGTAATTAATACAGATGCTCAGCTTGGCCCTTCCAATCTCTGGAACCTGGGCTGGCTCTTGGGTGAGAAATAACTGCTTTTGGTTTGGGGGTTTTTTCCCTTCAAACTACCAGTGAGGTTTATATACTGTTTCCTAAACGAAATAGAAAACCTTCAGGGGTGGGGAGAAGCTGAAGTGACAGGACAGGAGCTACAAAAAAGGCAGAAGTGGATATATTTGCACCCATGTTTAGTAAGTGAGAGATGCTGTGAGCCAGGTGAGCTCATGGGGAGGCTCCTATAGGCTGGGGTAGACTTTGTGTATTTGGGGCAAACAGCTCCCATGCACCCAGACCACCACCGGGCTCCGTTTTGCAGATTCCTTAAATCAGAGATTTTCCCCATCTGTGCCCAGAGTCGTGGCATAAAGGTTTGCACAACTACAGGTTTTAAAAGAGACATTTCCTTTCCTAAGCAGTAATCATGTCCTAGAGATTCTCCATATTCCTAGACCCGATATTAAAGCACTTTATATTTATTCTGTCTTCTACAGCCACAGAAGAACTAATTGTCCCATGTGTGATGTATGCCATTAAAGCGAGAGAAACGATGAAAAATGCAAAGGAATATCCCCGCCTACCTGCACGGTCAGAGCTCCGTTTTCCTGTTTACTCTCCTTATACTTCCTTTTCACCAGCAACAGGGACTTTTTTTTTTTCCTTTAAAGGATGGGGGGGGAAGCCTGTGCTAAGCCTGTGACCCCTCCAGGGTGTAAAATGGTAGCCAGTTGTACCTCCTTATTCCTCACAGGAATCTGGATGTTAACACCATGTAGGAAAAAAAAAAAAAAAAAAAAAAAAGGCAAAACCCCAAACACAGATAAACCCCCCAGTATCCAGCTTGTATTAAATAAATAAATAAATAAATAAATAAATAAATAACAAAACAAAACAAACCCCAACCCACTGAAAAAATGTTACACATGGCAGGTAGAAAGCAGATCTCGTGGACAGAGAGGACGAGGGTTTCTTGTGAGCAATGGAAAGGAGAGGGAAAGATGATTATTATTATTATTATGCCAACAATAAAGTCCAGTCCTTGCTCCTGTGCTGTGACACAGGCCCAGTGCCATCCCTTCTCCGAGGATGCTCAGATCAAGGGGGGGCACAGGGTTGTTACCTGTTGTCACCCACACAAGCATCTCCTCGCTGCAATGTCCTGCAGCTCAACTGCACAGCAAATCCCCTACGCTCTGGCTCTCGTGGTCTGTTTTTTTCCTCTCGAAATAACACATTGCGTGCACCAAGCGACTAGAGATAGTGGTACTTAAGAAAAAAAAAAAAACAAAACAAAACAACACCTTGTGACTCCTGTGATCAGAGTGGATTTGGAAGGAAAGTTTGTCTGGTACTATAGGAAAGACGAATTCCTTTGAGTGGGGATGTAGGGACAGGGCAGTGATGCAGATGATGGATAGGGAAGAGGTAGAGGGATGGATGGATCTATGGATACGTGGATGGATTAATATATTTTGGAACCACGGTGTTTGTGGGTACATGCGTGCACTGAACGTACGGTTACATTTTCAAACATACATTAAGGGGGAGGGATGTGACTTTTCTTGCCTACATTGCTCGTCATTTGAATCAGTAGAAATTATTTCTAGTCACCAGTACAGGTCAGAAGGGTAAAGAATTAGCAGGCCATAACTTGATTTCACCCCAACACGACCACACACTTCTCCCCACACCCTCTCTGCTCCGAGAGTTTCTAATCCGTGTAGACAAACCGTCTGCAGCCTGTCGTGTTTCTGCGGCTAAATTCACCTTTAAAACCCATGCCATTGAAGCATTCTAGGATCCCGTAAAATATCTTTATTATCAACTGAAAAGCAGGGTCCAGCTTGCACAGGGACTAGGGAGAGGCTGTTCAGCATAAAATCAGTCTGCTGCATAGGAAAAGCTCCCCGCACCCTGCTTCCCTTCCCTGAATTCCCAGCTTTTGCATTTGTGTTTACAGGTTTTCAGAGCAGAGGTTTTTCAGGATAGCACTGGCCACCCTCTGACTGCTCAGGGAGAAGCCAGAAGTTCAAATGATGATAGTAAAGATATTAGGAGACACATGGAGCAGGACAGGAAAAACAGCCCAAGGAAGGAAAAGCAATCTCCAAAGTGTGCTAAAGGGGGACATTCTGCTTTGTGTAAAAGAGACGGACATGTGTCCACCAAATGTTGTCTTACCGTAAAAAGGAGTGAAAAAAAAAAAAAAAGCAGCTTGTGACTGCTCCAAATTCTAGAAAACCCCCAGCCCACCCCCCTCCCCTGCAACCCCGCTTTGAACTTTTTTTAAATTATTATTATTTCTTAAGGAGCGAGGTGTGGGGAGGGATAGATGTGAGTTGGTTCAGGTGTGGACGAAGCATCCCCCCACCTCTGCTGCAGAGCTGGCGACTTGGCTTTCAAAAAAAAAAAAAAAACCAAAACCCAAACCAAAACCCAAACCCCAAAAAAAACAAACCAAGAAAAAAGCAACCTCTCCACGGTTTTGTGGTCGATGTTGCTCTATTTTGCTCTGGATGCCGTACTTCGCTCTATTTTGCTCTGGCTGCGCGGCCGCGCAGCCTCCGGCCGGGGCCACCTGCCCGCCCCAGCCCGGCGCGGGGGTGGCAGCCCCGAGCCCCCGAGCCATGGCAGTCTCCCCTCCCTTGCCCTTCCCCGCTAACTTGTTTATTTTCCCAAAGAAAAAGGCTGCTGCCTGCCTTTTCCAGAACGGTGGTCACCCTTCGGGGAAAATCTGTGAGATCCCGGCGGGTTCAATCAGGTTTGGAGAGTCCGTTTGCAAACTGCAGCCTGGCTGATTATTTTTCTGTAGCACTTCAAGACAGGCTGGAGACATAACAGCGGTCATTCGGTGTCTCCATATGGTAGAAACGAACTACGGAAATATGAGGGCACTCGTTCGTATTGTAAAAAATAGAAACCCAAGAGAAAAAAAAAAAAAAAGGAGGAAAAAAAAAAAGTCCTGGGGCCAAAAAAACCGGTCTCTACACAGGCCGAAAGGAATAAAGAAGAAGAAAAAAAAAAGAAGTGCACACATTTCTTTGGCAAGCAGGTGAAAATAATTTAAATCAAAAGGTGTTAACAACCTGAAGAGCACAGACAAAATACAGCTAATTGAAATGCAAAGGCATGGGCCAGATTTGTGGCTATTTGCGAGCAGTATAAACCACACCGAATCACCTCCAATAAACGAGCAAGAGCCTTTTTACATGGCGAAGGACAAAACTAAACTTTCTCTGAAGTACACACGTCCCCCGGCAAAGACAGGATGGAGTTTGCCTTGCAATGATAATGAATCTTTACAGATTTTCTATTTCTCCCCCTTCCACAAAGTTTACTTGTGGGCCTCGAAGCTGTGATGGAAATGTAATGCAATTCCAGCTCTCGGGAGGATAAGAATTAGGACCTTCTAAAAGTGAGAAATAAAGCTCTGAAAGAGAGACAGACCCTCTTTCCTCCCCGCTCAGCCTTTAGCCATATCAACCCTTTAAAATAGTTTAAGCAGATAATATTTCAGAAGAACTTACTTTCAGGACTCCAGTCTATTGGCTCTCTGGACTGAAAACTGGACCCGCAAAACATGTTCCCTGCAATTGCAACGTTTATCTCATCTGGAAAAGTGCTCACCCATTGCTGCCCCTTACAAGCCAAACCAAGCAGTTAAAGTGTCACTTAACATTCTAGAGAATGTGAAATATATTGTACATTGTCAACTCCCCAAAACCATAAAACTAACTTTATGGACCTCACGTGACTTTTGAGAGCCAGTGAGGGGTATCTGTCTGAGGTCTGGGCGATTTTTACGATCTAACTTCTAGATAAAACCCTATCCATTTGACATCTAAATGTCATACCCACTTTTGGTATAGTTTGCTATTGGTAAAAAAAAAAAAAAAAAAAAAAAAAAAAAAAAAAAAGAGGAAAAAAAATCAAGGGAAGGCGAGCAAATGGTTTGGGATCTGACAGTCCACTTCACATCCCTCTCAAAATCACTTAAGAAGTACCTAAACAGTGGGAGATTAAGTTTGGTAAGTTTTAAGATCCAACTTTACTTGCTACGAACAAAAAGCCTAAGCTGTATTGTAGAGATGTCAGTGGCGCTTTGCCAAATCGAGCGACTTTAAACCGGAGTATCTCGTGCCTTGTTAGATTCCCTAGGTAGGGAAATGGCAACATTTGCCATCTTTGATGATGTTAAATTATCTGCAGACAAAATGACTCGTTGTAGTGTCAGTAGTTACAGAGTGGTGAGCTGGTGTTTACATGTTGAGCCAGAGACGAGGAGGTAAAAGCAGTAAGCACAAGAAACCGAGGATGAGAGGTAGCGGAGAGAGTACAGCTTAGCACAGAAATGTATGATATATATACATGTTAGATATATGTAATAAATATATCTCTACAAACACACAGATCTGTAATTCTGTAGAAGACGGGTTTACTTGGACATATATGTGGATATAAATACCTCTCGCTTTGAAAATGTGCGTGTGTATGTCTGTATCTGACAATTCCTGAAATGCACCGAAATCTGCCGGGGAAGCGTTTATACCGTGTTATTGCAACTTGAAGTACTTGAAACCAGTTTGTCTGCTGCGGTGGGGTGGGGGGGTCTGTGTTGTTTTGGGGGAGCCGGCGTTTGGGGCGGGAGGGGGTTGCGTTTTGTTCCCGTGCGGTGCCAGAGGGGGGGTTTGATGTGAATATTTGGTGTTTCGGAGCTCCCAAGGAGCTGCCCAGGAGAGGCTGCAGCTCTGCTGAGAGCTCCAGCACAGGCTCAGCTCCATGCCAGGCACCTCTCCGGCTTCAGCATGTGCTGCAAGTCTCAGAGGTTGTGCATAAAGTGCAACTGGGAGCCTTTGTGAATAGGAGAAACGTTTATTTGACTTCAAGTAAAGCTACAAACAAATACAAAAAGCTTATTGGCAAAGTACTAACAGGCAGCTAGACATGACAGATGCCATTTTTACACATAACATTGCATTCACTCTGCCCACTACAAACCGTCTATTAGTCACATCAGAAATATTTCTAGTATTTACAAACATTAGAGCACTCTATTGTTGGTCCGATTTTATACATTTTTTTTTTAATAGTGAAGTTTACCCACGTCTAAGAGTACGTCTCGGAATTAGCCTAGGACTAGGAATCCTGGCCTGAAGTTTGAACTAAAACACAGACTGGACAATTTTAAGACAGAAAGATACAAGAGCTTTTTCTTCTTCTTTTTTTTTTTCTTTTTTTTTTTTTTTTTACATTTTTGTTTGGCTTTTTTTTAGATTATTTTTTTTTTCTGCGACTGTAGTGCAGGAACCCCCGATTTTAGCTTAGGCAGAGAAGAACCCACCCAAAAGCAGTAAACTCAGGAAAGGGGAAAAAAAACCCAACAACAAATAAACAAACAATCGTATCTGTTCTCAATTTATAAATAAGTTATAACATTTAAAAGGCTCACATAAAACATGCTAGCTTTCCAGAAAGCATCAAGAGAGCACGGACACATACATTTATAAGAACAACAAGAGCATGAGGAGCATCTGGAAATAAAATTTAATTAAAAAAAAAAATAAAAATCCCAAACCCAAACAGAACACGACATGAACTCAGTCCTGGGATAACGGTACCATACGCGTTGTTTTAGAATATCAACAACATGCCGAAAAGAAGGTGCCTCACTGTACAGTACTCCGAAACTAAGATCTGCGGCGCTTTATTTATTTATTTATGTATTTCTTCCTCGTCTCCTCTTCTTTCCTCGATATTCCTCCTCTAGAATTTATGGCTGAAAGGCGCTGCCCGCCGAGGCTAAGCTCATGCTTTTCAGTTTATTATCCTTCTTCCATTTCATCCTCCTGTTCTGGAACCAGATTTTGATCTGGCGCTCGGAGAGGCAGAGAGCGTGAGCGATCTCTATTCTCCTCCTGCGGGTGAGATATCTATTGAAGTGGAATTCCTTCTCCAACTCCAGGGTCTGGTAGCGAGTGTAAGCTGTCCTCGCCCTCTTCCCGTCTGGTCCAGTCATGTCTGAATAACACGGACAACAGCGGGGTTTGGGTTTTGGCTTTCTGCTAGGATTTTTGTGTTATCCTTAAGGCGCTTTTTTTTTTTTTTTTTTTTTTTTTTAATTAAAAAAATGCCTCGCCTTCTTCGGGCAGCTAGGAAAACTGCTTATTCCCCAAATAACAGCCCCCACCCTCCTCATTTTCGCACACCCCCAGGCACGTGTAAACCCCCCCACCCTTGGCCCCTCCAGAACCGACATTCGCAACTCAATATTCATAATTTAACTGGAGAAGGGAGACCTTGAAATCTCCCTTTCTCGCCTCTGCCTGGGTGTCTCTGGGGCTGTTTGCAGGGGCAGCAGGTTTAATGCTGCTTTCTTTTCTCCAGGAGAAAAATCGGGGCGGGGGGGAAGGGGGGGCTCACTATTCCCCCTGTATCTCCTCGGAATTTTGGTTTTGTCAAGAGCAGATTGTCAAGAATACACCCAGCAAAATAAGAGTAGGAAAGGACTGAGAGACCCATCTGTGCATATAATGCCATTTTAATGGTCAATTCTTTCCTTTCCTCTCCCCCCACCCCCCAAGGAACACCCCCTTCCCTCAATTTTTAAATTACCTTCTCCCACCGTCCACATAGAGCTAAGAGCTTGAAATAAGCGCACATTTCGCGGCAAGAATAGCGAAACTAAAATAAAATCGCCCCCCCTCCAGGCGCCAGAGGCAGCTTTAAAGCAGCGACCAGAGCAAGAAATACAAAAGCAATAAATAGCTGCGTTTCTGATCAAAGCGCCTCCACCGAATAAAAGGAAGGAGAGAAAAAAGGGAGTGAGGTGGGGGGGGAGGTGGGGGTGGGGAGGAAAAAGGGGGGGAAAAAAAAAAAAAAACAAAAAACAAAAAACAACCCCAAAACCCACCAGAGAAAAAGCGAGGGGTGTGCGAAAATAAACAACAACAACGACAACGACGGAAAAAGAAGTAGCTGTACCATGGCTAATGTGAAGTTTCCTCATCCAAGGGAATATCTGAGGTGCCTGCCCTTCTGGTGCTGCGGTGGAGGTCGCGATGGGCTCTGCCTGCGCTCGGGGGATGCTGCTGCTTAGTGGAGTGCCCTCGTCGGCTCCCGAGGACGCGCTGGTCTCGTCTAGTTCTGTGAAATTTGTGTTGGTGGTGCTGGCAGAAGTAGCTTGGTCGGAGGGGGACGGGGCGGGTTTGCCTCCATGGCTCTCGCTGTTGGAGCAGGGCAGGGAGTCGGGAGAAGATAAGGAGCAGCTAGACGCCTGTCTAAACCTGCTCTCCTGAGCTGGAGAAGGGAAACCGCGGGAGCTCTCCCCCACAGCCCCAAAGTGACTAGAGGAGGCTGAGCGGTTGATGCTAAGGTCCATCCCATTGTAGTTGTAGCCATAAGAGCTGGAATGCATGGTGCTTGAATCTCTGTAAGAACCGTTCATGGAACTGCTGGTCCCATAATTTAGTAACTGATAGTCGGGGCCATTTGGGTAGCGCCCTGAGAACGAGTTTACAAAGTAAGAGCTCATTTGGGTTATTTTGGAGGGCTTGATTTGTGGCTCGTGGTCGTTATAACCCTGTGCTTGACGATTTATGATGTATTAATGAATTATAGCAATGCACTGTACTTCGTTTTTGCTATGTATGCGGCCAAATATGGGGGGAGGGTGGGGGTGCGTTTGGGAATCACGTGCTTTTGTTGACCAGTCGTAAATTCTCACTGATGACCTCAAGAGGTAATTCATGCTCTATGGTTACAAATAATGACGAGCGCGGAGCCGTTTAGGCCCAAGTCGGCGCGCGGCGCCCCAAATCCCCGCGCGCGCCGGCGCCGCGCTCGCGCCCCGCCTTGGCGGAGTGCGCCACCTGCCGGCCGCGCGGGGACACCGCTCCGCGCGCGCGGGTGGCGGCGGGGGGGGGTGGGGGGGTGGGGGCCCGCACCCCAAATCCGCCCCCGCTCCGCGTCCCCCCCCCACCCCCTCCCCCGCCGCCTTTTATTTTCCTTTTCGTTCCTAAAAAACAACGCCGAGATGAGAGGAGGGGGGGGGTGGGGGGATCCCGCCGCCGCTCGCGTGTCCGCGCTCCCCGCGTGGGTCTTCTCGCCCGGCTCTTGATTAAACTCTTAATTTCTTCCTTTGTAACACAGGCGGGGAAGTTCGAGAGGCATCGAGGGATGAGGTGCCGGGTCGCTGTGAGGCCGGGCAGTCTTCTCAGTGTCTGGAGGGGGGGGGACACACACAAGGCGAAGCTGCTACAGGGGCGCGGGGGGGGGAGCGTGGCTGCTCGCGGTTATTTCGCGTGGTTATTGTCAGAAAAGTCGAGGTTTCTTGCACGCTGAGCGTGGAGCCAGCGATGCGGTCGCACCTTAATTCTGGAGGGGGAAAAAAAAAAGGGAGGGGAGCTGGGGAGGGGGGGGGTGGAAATAGAGGAAAAGGAGGGAAAGTCCAGCCGGTGGAACTGGTTGACAACGTTGCTTTTAGGATATTCTTGTTCCTCAGCGTTTCATGTCCTCTTTGAACACAGCATTGTGCTACGTGGTTTTTCCTTTCCATTTGCTAACCTGTAAGGAATATTGGGGAGCAAAAGCACTCTGAAATTGGTAAAAACGTTGTGAAAGAGATGTGCTTTGTTAAGCATTACTTTCTTTTTTTTTTTTTTCTTTCCTTCTTCTCTTTTCTCTCTCTCTCTCTTTTTTTTTTTTTTTTTTTTTTTTTTTTTTTCCAAGGCAGTTTAGGAATTTCATATGCTTGTCTGCAACTCATTGGAAATTATGCGCCATATTGAAAGTGACATATAATTATAATAATTACGGGCAATGAAAAGCGTGGCAATAATAGTAAATGTCCTACAGCTGTGAAGCTTCTGCATGAATTGATTTTAAAAGTGACTGACATTAAACCAGCTTGTGGCATGGGGGAATGCATTCATACATAGGTATTTCTTGTGGGTAGTGGGGAAAGGGGATGGGAGGCAGGAGATACTGTTTCATCGCATTTTCCCCCCGTCAAGCTGCAGAAAACGGTATCCGAAATAGGCTGGGCTGGTCGCTTGCTTCCAGTCCTAAATCCCCAGCAGAAAAAGCACTTCCTTTCGTTTAATTCCCAAAACCTAGGAAAAGTTTCCTATTTGCATGCACGAGATTCCTCTTTGGTACGGAGCAGAAACGTTCCCCATCCCATCCCGAGCAAAGTCAGCCTCTCAAAAGGAGCCATTGAAAACGCTTTCAAGTGAAAATAAAAATCTACTCTTTTAAAAGAGCTCGTTAGACTTAGTTTAGATTTTTTCCATCTTTTTTTTCCCCCTTAAATGGAGACTGTATTCCTGGAGCTGAGAAGCCCCTCGTTTTGCAGAGCAAATTCCCTTGAAATCTGGACTTTTTTGCAATACACTTCACTTTGATTTGGGGATATGAAGTAAGGGACCAGATGTTTGAAAGATGCTAGGCAAATGTTAGGTATCTTTGGTAGATAAATGAGAGCATATTTTTGCCTGTTTCCTTGATTTATTATGTATATGGAGAGCGTTTCGTCATAACTCTTTGTACTGTAACAATAAAAAAGAGCGACACTAAAGCTGAATGTCAGCGAGGAAATACTATTGGTGAAAGGTCTTCCATTTAAGATTAGACAAAAAGAGGGAAAACCAGATTTATCTCTCCACTGTAACTTCCGTGTGCTTGGAGTTGCTTGTCCTTGCAGATTAGAAGACATTGTCACACAGAGAGAAGCAAGGCTTTCTTTACAACTCTCTGCTCCTTAAGAATGGCAAGTTCCCCTGGAAAAGGGAAAGATAATAATAATAGTAATAATGACAGGGTGGTGTGCGTGAGATCGAAGACTTTGTTTTTATTAGAGAATTCCATGTTCATACCTAAGACAAACTTCAAACACAACACGTACAAAAATTAATAAAATATAACTTTGTTGTTGTTGTTGCTTTTGCATCCTTTTAGGTAGTACTCGTTCTTTCAGTAGATTTTCCTTAAAAAAAACCCAAAACAAAACAAAAACAAACCCCAAAAACTAATTACAAAGACCCCAGGGCTTGATTAATTTACCAAAGGAGAAAAAAAAAAAAAAAAGAAAAATGAAAAAGAAAACTATGTCAACCGTGCATGAAACATTTTTACAAAATTAAGACAATAAACACCCCAAATGACATATATTGCAGCACTTCCATTAAATACAAGAGTTAGCAGATTACTAACAGTGACACCAAGGGTAGAAACACGGGTAGGAGTCTTTTTTTTTGTCTTTTCTCTTTCCCTTTCTTTTCCCCCTTCTCTCTCTATGTCTTTACTTTTTTTATTATTATTATTTTATCTCGGGGTGGGGGGGGAGAGTGGGAGGGGAGGGAGATCTAGGAAGGAAAAAAAATGAAAATACGCAACTAGAAGCCTGAATTTTTTTTTTTTTTTTTTTTCTGGACACGACAGATCACTGGGAACACGAGTCCATGGCATTGGTGGCCCAAACTTTCTAGCTGTTGCCGCTGCTGCTGAGGGCTTGTCCCACCAATGTGCAGGTTTTCCCTGTCCTCGCAGCCAGCCCACATCCCCCTCATCCTCTCAGCTCTCACACACACTCACTCACTCCCTCTCTCTTTTTTTTTTTTTCTTTTGTTTTTGTGTGTTTTAAATAATACTTTCACTCCGCCGTTTTCTCCTCCTCCTCTTCCGCGCTGAGTTGCGAGGAGTTGAGCAATTTATTCTCTTTTTTCCACTTCATCCTGCGGTTCTGGAACCAGATTTTGATCTGCCGCTCCGTCAGGCAGAGGGAATGGGCGATCTCGATCCGCCGGCGCCGGGTCAGGTAGCGGTTGAAGTGAAATTCCTTCTCCAGCTCCAGCGTCTGGTAGCGGGTGTAGGTTTGGCGGCCTCGGCGGCCGCTGGGCCCAAAGGAGGAACCTGTGACACCCGCAAAAAAAAAAAAAAAATAGGAAACAAATAGGAAAAAAATAGGGAAAAAATGGGGGGGGGGGGGGGGGGGAGGGGAAGAAAAAAAATAGGAAAAAAAAATCAAGAGGAAAGGAAAAAGAGGGGAAAGCCCAGAGGTTTAGTGGAGCCGTGGAGATTCTGGATAATCCGCGAGGATGCTACGCCCCGCACCGCGGCTGTGTGCGGAGGGGTGTGTGCCCGCTCCCCTGCCCTCCAAAGGCTTTGGCCAACCCCAAAATAAAGCCCATGGCGGTGAGCCACTCCGTGAGCGCAGGGAGGCTCCCTGGCCGGGCCGCGCCCGCGGAGGATCCGCAGCCGTGCTGCAGGCAGCCGGGCAGAAGGGTTAATGCTGAACTTGCCAGACTGCAGGCAGGGCTGAGGAGACAGGGCAAGATCTATCTTATTCCGGGATGAAAAATCGCAAGGTGTTCTCCCCCCCCTCGCCCGCCCTCGCTATTTTCCACCCTACCGGCAACTGTAATAGATCTGAGCATTTAAGCAATAATGAAGTGAATCGATCTGCCCAAACTCTACATTAAAGAGGACACAACACTTTATGTCCCTGCGCTAATGGACATCAATTTGGAACTTAAAAGGCAACAAATGCATCTAAACATGGGAAGGAGGGTGGTGAGCCTCTATTATTTTTCTCCCCCCCCCCTTTTTTTTTTTTTTCTTCTGATTGAGGAAACAGCACTTAAAGAAGTCATATATCACCAGGAGGAAAAAAATTCTCCCCAGGCAGACTTTTCATTATGTGCGAGTTTCATTAAAAATGTAGTCCTCTCCTTTCAAATATTTAAACACTTCTATATTATTTAACTCCAGATCGGGTAGCCAGCGAGAGAGGGAGCTGCGTGGGGGTGTGGGTCCGTGCGTGTGTAAAGTCATCCAGATCTGATTTAGAAAAGATATCTCCCTGTGCGTGTGGGGGAAAGACAGAGACAAATCGTTGTAGCTGAGTGACACGCAAACTGGAATGTGCAAAAAAAAAAAAAAAAAAAAAAAAAGGGGGGGGGAGGAAACGGAGAAATACTGTACTGAGGTTTAAATACGGGGCCAACTTTTTAGCTGGGGGGGTGCTGGGAGAAAATACTTCATCGGCGTGAAGTTTTGGTGCGTGTCAGGAGCAAGTTGGAGCCTCTCGTGTCGCCTAACTTCCCCGCTGGAAGTTTGGGCTCTAAAGTGAGCCTTATTCCTGCTTCCCTCGCTCGCTCGCTCTCTCTCTCTGGCGGTAACAAATAAGAAAGGGGGGGAGGAGATTGATGTATTTATTTCTGTAAAAGAGTAAACTCACTATTGCAAGAGTTCATCCGCTGCATCCAGGGGTAAACCGGGGCGGAACATTTTTGCTCCTCGCTCTCTCCGAACACAGTTTTGCTCTGCGCGCAGTCCGACTTGCGCGGCTCGGGGGCGAAGGGCACCTCGTCCAGGTTGGGGGGGGCGCACGGAGGGTCCTTCTCCCTGAAAAACCCGCCGGCCCCATAGTCACAGGCGGAGCTGCGGCTGTAGGCTCCGTTGCTTTGCTGGTAGTAAGGAGAGGAGGTATAGCCCTTCTCCTGGACGCCCGTGGCTCCATAGGTGGTGGGGTAGTGCCTCAAAGGATCCGCATAGCCCGAGGGATATAGCGGGATCTGTCCCAGGAAGGGCTCCTGCCCCGCCGCCAGACTCACCGGGAAGGTCGAGTTGACAAAATAGGAACTCATTGGAAGGAGCCTGCCGTCCTTTCCCGGCTTTATGATTTGTTGTGTTTTATAGTCCAAGTGGTTTAGCTATTAGTAGTATATCGGAGATTGGGTTTTAGCTGAAGGGAGATGGCGTGGTGCCAGCGAGGGACACAAGGAAATACAACCATCTGATCAGGGGCTGACCAATAGCAGGCGCCTGAGGTTGCAAAATAGCACCCATGAGGAGCTGAGATTGCACCAGGGACCCCAAGAACAAACCATCCACCCCTTTTTCCCTCCCTTTTAAACAACAGAAATGCACCCCCTTAACCAAATATATAATATCTGCCGAAAGAAACATTCCCGGCGCGCTCGGAGCTTCATAAATAAATAAACGTGTGTGTCCCCCCCCCTCCCCCGGAGCTCAGCGCGGGGGTGGCGAGAGCCCGTCTGCACGGATGGCGGTGTGCGCGCCTATATATATTTACACACATATAATGTATACAAGTACCCGCTGTAAGAGGGGGGGGGGGGGGGGGGGAAGAAAGTTAATGATTCGCATTCGGAAAACTTTAACCCCTAATGTTTGCAAATAGTCCTGAAATGTCTGGGTACTTTGCTACAGTTAAGAAAACAAAACAAAACAAACAAAAAAAAGAAAAAAGTTTGCTCTGTGTGTATGTGTGAAGTTTGCAAGGAGGAGATCCCACCGGGTTGATTGACTTAGATTTGCTATAGGAGAAGAAATCGGTTTTGACAACTTATTTCAGTTCATGTTTGTCTAATTACCATAGATTTGCACTCCCTGTTCAGGAAAGCTGCGGTCGCTTGAACCAAACCTTCGCTTTTCACAAATTGCATCTTTTTCCTTTCTTTTACTGCAAAAGCTCTGTATTCAGGAGATAAATGGAAAATCGAAGTATTTCCTTTATCCCTTGCAAAATCCCGATCTCCTCCAGAGTCCGGTACCGCATTGTGCCCTCTTGCGTTTTTTTGTTAATACCAAATCTATGCCCGACCTTTTATGGCTAAAAGGAAGCCTTGGGTTATGGTCAAAAGCTGAGTTTATTGATTGTTACCGATCGAGATGGTTTTTTTTCAACGAGAGGAAAGCTGGCGGTATGATGGGGCTGCTGCCTTGGAGGTGCACAGAGACCCCGCGGGTTTGCATCTCCCCCCTTTGAGCCCGTCCCCACTGCAAAATACCTATTTTTGCAGACATAAAAGGCTGGAAGGGAGAATTCCGAAAGTCTCGAGCAATTGCCGGTCACCCTAGAAGCTGCACTTTGCTCTGGGGTTTGCCTCTCTGTTTTTCCAGAGATATGCTCTGCTCTACCTGCATCCCTCCTTCAGATCCCTGTTTGCTCAAGGTAGGCTTGGATCTCTGACTGCCGCCTTCCCTTTTTTCAAATGGGAAAATCAGAGCCATCTCACAGGGGAAGAGAAAAAAAAAAAAATCAAAACCAACCAACCTAAATTAACCCCAGGACTGTCCCCCCGATCAGTCGCGTTTTATCAAGGATTTGTTTCCTGTCCGAATTTGTAGCCATCTGTCTGTCGGGTCTTATATGCAATGAAACGACACTCCCCTGTACTTGAATCTGTGAATGTGTGTGCTACAAATCTAGAATTACATATATTACATGGTGTCTGTAGAGCTGCCAACGCGGCGCGCTCTGTCGAAGCTTTAAGTATCTCCGAAACTGGTATCTTATTACGAGCTAATTTATTTTAAACATCATGTTTACAGCAGCAAAGCCAAGATTGTTTCATGCCACGGCTGCAATGAACATTTCGACTGAAACGTAATCCTTATAATTCAAGGAAATAACATGCAAAGGAAGTAGTTTTCATCCTCCACCCCCTCTCTGACTGATATCTCTTATATTTGTTCTTGCAGAGTTTCCCTTTGTGTATGGAATGGACCCAAACTTACGTAGATCTGCTTTATTGGTATGCAAGAAAAAAAAAAAAGTGAGATTGAAAGGGAACGATGACTAAAGAAGGAAAAAAAAAAAAAAAAAAAAAAAGCTCGGACGAGAGCCTGAAGTTAACTGCTTTGCAGGAGCCGAACAGCTCATACATTTGATTAGAGAGTTACGCAATATTTGTAGCTCTGCAAAACCAGCGATTATCTGGCATGATCAGATCCGCATGTAAATTTTGGGCTAAAACGTGTGATGTCCTGATAATTCAATGCGTGAGTACATCTGCTGAAAATGTTGGCTCTAATATTTTCTCTCACTTCTCCTAATTGCTCTGCAAATAAATCCCTCGAAATAGTTGGGGAAAAAAAATCCCCCCTCCCCCAAAATTTACCGTAGCAAAATACTGCTCATCCTAGTACCCTGTGGCTACAACAGGCTTTTTGCGTAGTTTGACTGTCGTCATTTTGCAAGAAAATAAAAATGCACTAATTGAAGCTGGCCGCTTGCTAATTGCTTATTGCTGGCATCTTAGACGCGCTATAGATTAAAAATAATACGTCTTGCCTCGTAGAAGGAGGCTGACGCTGTAGATGGCTATTTGGGGATGGTAAAGAAAAGAAGAAAACTTGTTTCCTAACGTGAAAAAGAAACAGCGCCTGTCAGTTTTTATCTTTCTGTGGGTCAGGCCCGAGGTCTAATTGATTTGCCACCTATAATACATGTAAATACGAGAAGAGGTCTTAAACTGCACTAAATCTCAGAGAATTGCATGCTTAGCACAGAGATGGTTTCTATTCCCAGCTTAAAGATTTTTAAAAATATATATATACAGTGACATTTCAAATAATTAAAATGTTGGGTTCTTAGTGTAGCTGTTGAACAGATGCTCTCCTGCCTTCCCTGCTAAAGTCCGAAGGTAAATCTGAGACCGATTTTGCGAATATATTTTCTTTGGACGCCTCTAGCGCCAGCCCAGCCGGGAGGGACGCAGACACGGAGCAATAACGGCTGCAGGAGCGAGTTTATACAGTAGCCCTTAAGTTAGACCCGTCTTTGAGGGCACCGACGGGCACATCTTAATTCAGTCTTTGGCCTCATCTCCTCAAAAAAAAACCAAAACAAAACAAAACAAACAAACAAACAAAAAAAACCAGGAGCAGGGTTTGCTAAGAAGGAGGCAATAAAGCGGGGAAGTTGCGAGAGACACCAGAAGGTGGAATAACACATTTCAGTGCGCTGGGAAGCCGGCTTCCCCCTCCTGACAGACATCACTCAGCTGGCAGGGTATAAATACAGATAAAGAGAAGTATTTACAGTATGTAGAATCCCAGCTCTCTGCCCAGGAAGGTCCCACTTTTTGTCGCTTTGCTTTTCTGGCCAGCAAACGCCAACCCCACCAGGCAGAGCCAGGCAGATAGATGAGGGGATTAAAACAACACCCAAATATTTCGAAATGCAAACAGAACAGAGCATTGCTTGTGTGAAAGCTAAACCCGCTAAGAACTTGGGAGAAAGTTCAGTTGCAGTTGGTTCCAATAAAAAATGAAACTCTCTTTTTTTCATGTGGAGCTGGAATTCCCGATCCTTCTGAAGTGAGAACACAGCGGGGGTTTCCCTACCGAGGGACTTATTGCAGCCATAAAGTCAAGCCAACACCACGAAAACACTTGAAAAAAGCCCTTGTTCCTGGAGTCAGACATAGAAAGCCATTGGCAGCAGAGAAACCTCCCCTGTAATGCTCATGCACACCCAAAATCACATCGGAAAAAAACCCCGACAGAGCCATGTAGAGCTCCAGGGTTGAAGTATTTAAAACAATGACCCCTGAAGGTGTAAAAAAATACCCACTCTCCCCACGCATAACCGCCTGAAACTTAATTTCCAGCAATTTAAGTTTAATTTACCTGACTTCCCGTGCAGTGCATAATAACCTTGTTAATGGGATCTTTGAAAAGAAGCAATAATAATCTACCATTGTTCCATTAAAGAGTGCAGCTAATTATTAACAAAAAAAAAAAAAAAAAAAAAAGGGAGGAGGGAGGAGGGGAGAGCGGAGGGGAGAGAGAGATTGGGGGAGTCAAAATGCATCCAGACCGAAGTATTTCCACGAAAGCAAGCCCTGGGAAGGGAAAGGGGAGACTGCTGGTCAAATAATATTGGAAAAGCAGGGAGAAGGAGAGGAAAAGGCGAGACGGATCATGTAATGTGGAAAGCGAATGCTGGGGGTGTTGGGAATTACAGCATGGAACAAGTTAATCATGGCTGTTGCTGGTCAAAAGAGAGAAACTTTTTTTTTTTCCCTCTCCTTTTTTCTTTTTTTCTTTTTTTTTTTTTTTTTTACCATAGTCCCTGGGCATCTCACTTTCTTCAAGAAAACGTCCCTAGTCTACACGTAAACAGTTGCCAGGAAACTGTGTGGTAGAAGGAGAAAACGAGAGGGAGAAAGCGAGAGGGAGGGAGAGAGAGAGAGAAACCTTTTAAAATAACAGACACGCATTGTCCCTTCAAAGCCTACAGTAACTTAAAAGTGATTCGTCGTCTGCCTTTACTCCCTGCTCCTTCCCCAGCAACCACCCCAGCTTTGTGTACACGGCTTGACATATCTTTTCCAGACCCCACCGAAATGACCACTCCAAGCAATAAATAAATAAAAGCTCCTCTGCCTTTTATGATGAGCTGAACCCCCCTCCGCCTCGCACGTCATTATTGCATCGCATTTTACAACATCTCCGCTTGTGTCCACGCTCAGCGACCAACCAGCAAACCTTTCATCCTCCGTGGGTGCGCGTACGGCCAGGCGTGAGCCTTCACATGTGCACGCGTGTAGAGATGTGGACGCACATGGTACACGCGTACCCTCACAGGCTGGGGGGGGGGGGGGTGCGGGGGTGTGGGGGGGGAATGTATAGCATGTGGGACGTTCGTAACTCACACGAGTGCGCATCTATGTGCGGGTGCATCCTCTAAACGTATCTCCAGGCACTTATAGCCGAAGGCACACCTCCCCGCCGCCACCCGCAGCAGCGCACCTCGGGGGTGAAGCGCATCCCGGAGCGCGGCTGGGGTGGGGGGGGGACACACGACACACTGCGCTCCCTGGCACCCCCCCGGCCGGGGAGTGGGGAGGGCGGGCGGGGCAGGGCCACCCCCGGCGGAACACCGGCGGCGGGAGCCCCCCGGGAGCCCGCCGGCCGCCGCCGCCGACGGTAGATGGCAGCAAACGGCGGGGAATGGGCGAGTCCCGCGGCGGCGGCACCGGGGGGACGGCGCGGCGTGGGGGGGGGGGGGGGGCTGCCGCGCTTCGGGCCGCTGCGTTTCCTATGTTCCGAAATCAATAAGCAACGGAGGGTGGCAGGAGGGGAGCGCAGCCGGGAGCAGCGCGGAGACACCATCCCGCACCCCCCCCCACACACGCACCACACACCCCCACCCACGCACAGACCCACCGCGGGGGAGCGGAGGTTTCTCGGTTATCCCATGCCGAACCGGGCTGAAATGGTTAAAAAAACCTGCCCGCACCGAGGTGCGTGGTTTCCACAAGTGGTTGCCCACGTAGGATGTGGAAGACTCGGCATAAAAGCGTTTTAGAGCAAGGTTTCTAAATTAACTTAAATTGTTGTATTTCTTTTTTTTTCTTATGGAGAGGGAAAAACAAAAAAAAAAAAAAAAACACGAGCTCGGAGAGACTTAGGGAAAACGGAGAACAGGCATTTGAACCGACATTCATTTTTTCCCCCGTGATTTATGAAAAATGTAACAGGTTCAGGAAGAAATAGATTTTAAAAATGACTTTCTGTTTATTATTTCCACGGCTTGCGATCGTTTACTTTTGTCCACACAATATTCGGGCACAGTCAGTTTAGGTGAGATAAATCGTCACGTCATAAAATGGTTTATGCTTAAGTAATGAATCTCCTCTTACTCAATCCCGCTTCACATACACAGGCTCGTACATTATCTGATTTAAAAATCACCTCATAACAGTAGCAATTAGTACTATGTTTCAAACCCCCCACCTTGAAATGTTGAGAAAAACACATTTAAAATGACGAACATCTCCAGATAAATATTCTCCTAAACGTACGCGAAGGCAAACGGTTGGGTATCAGACAGGGAGGGGAGAGGGAGATTTGCACATAACTTGGTGTGGAAAAGCACCGACACGCCGTGGGGCTGAAACCCAAGCCGGTATTCCGGTCGGGAAAGCCGTAAAGCCCCGGTAACACGGCACAACGCAATTAAATACAAGGAGGTTTATTGCATCGCAACGTCAGCTTCATTTGGGAGTTTCACGAGGGGAAAGGAAAAAAAAAATACAATGAGAGCGCTGCGCTCTGGGTTGGTTTCATTCTTATTATCTTTTTTTTTTATCTCTTTTCTTTTTTTGTTCCCCCCTTTTTTTTTTTTTTTTTTTTTTTTTTTTTTTTTAACATTTCCAGAACCTTATTTTCCGAGGACTGCTGCGAACTGCCCTCTCCGAAGAAACCACCCACATAATAATGACCCTGGAGAGCAGCGCAAAACCCAACTGGCTTCCACACAAACTTCGCCAAATTACTGGGCTCGCCTGAAGACAGACAAACTGGCAAGAGATTCTGCGAGAGGGAAAAAAAATAAAACACGACAACTACCCACAAAGGGTTTGGTATTTTTTTAAAGGCAGTATCTAAAAGCCTCCGTCACCGAGCTACTGCAAAATCCTCCATTCCAAGTCTACTATCTCCAGGTGACCTTACAGGCTTTGTTTTTCCTTCTTACTCTGTTATTTAATTTTTCTTTCTTTTATTTCCTTTCTGATTTTCTTCCTCTGTTTCTTTCTCATTCTTTTTCTTTCTCTATTTCTTTCCTGCTTTCTTATATTTTTCTAGATTCTTTATTTCTTTCTTTCTTTTTCTTAAATTATTTCTTTACCTTTTTTCCATTCTTATTTCTCTCTCCCTTTCTCTCTTCCTCTCTACCATTACGCCACACTTTTTCGGGGAAATTGTCACTTAAACAGGTTTCCACCACCCCTGATTTCTTCCAGTGCCTCCCTTCTTCAACACCCCACCCTTTTCTTTCTATTCCCCCCCCCCCCCGGCTAGAGGGGAGAGGGCGATGGGGAATGGAATAGAAAAAGCAGCTTGACAAATGCATTTTCTCAAAGAAAAAATTAAATGAAGAGAAACAGATATTATTCCCTTACCTTTTGACGTCCATTTCTGTGGTATAAGTAAAATATATAGGGAGAGAGAGACAGCGTTTGCTTATCTGTTAGCTGACAAATATTGTCCCAACCTGATAGCCGTCGATTGCCTCTCTGACTTGTGAGAGCTTCTTGCATTTCTGTCATTTGCATAGAAAATGGAGTAACTTCCCTCTTTGAAAAATGATAGCCTCCACTCGGTCCAGAATCTCCTCTGCCCCTCCATTACTACTGAGATTCCAAATCAGCAGGCAAATTAACAGAGGAATTAAAAAAAAAAAAAATCATATAACTCTCTTCCTATGTGTGTGTGCGGAGGTGGGTGTCTATGTGTGCGTGTGGATGTGTGTATAGGCGTCCCCCCCTCCCCTCTCCCCTGTTTTAGCCCTATCGAGCTTATACACAAAAGTAAAAAAATGTAAAGAGGCGAGAGCCCTATAGAGGACACTGATCCGACCCAAGGTGCAGCGGACAGAAGAATGGTGCAATATAACCACATGGGAAATAATAAAAAGTTCATGTTCACGGTTAGCAGTCCACATGACCGGCTCTGGCCAATCCCAGAACCCAGCCACTCATAAAGTTCTATCACAAAGTTGTAAATTTTCATAAAACAACAAGGAATTTATTGCATTTCTTCATGACCGGTTTAACAGCAGTCTTTTTCTTAGCCGCCATCTTTTTTTTAAAACAAAAATAAAAGAATATGAAAGGGGGTTCAGGGATTTTCCCCCCCCCTCCTTGGTTGCATGTGGGGGGGTGTGGGAAAGAAATAATCGAATAACGCCTCACACGTTAAGCTAAGAACAATAATAGCCCCCCCAGAATAAAGAGCTTGGGGTTGGCTTTTAAATGGGGAAAGACACAGTAAAACAGTGGGGTTCGGGTGGGATTTTTAATGTCTTTCTTTTACACGATTGGGATCCTTTCTGCTGAAAGGGGCAATTAGCAGATTTCGGGGGGGGGGGGGGGGGGGAAGAAAAAAAAAGGCAAATAAAGGCACTAAAAGCGTGGCCGGGGTGCCCATGCCCTGGGCAGAGCCGAGACGGAGGGGTTCGTGTCTGCCCGGCTCCCCACGTCCAAACCCCCCCAAGGATCCGCCGGGACCCCGCCCGGTCCCCCCGCGGCCCCCGCTATAGCGCGGAGGGATGGGGGGGGATGCTCCGGCAAGGTGGGTCACCCCGCCGGTAAACCGCTGCCCTGGCTTTAATACATTAAAGCATCGGTGTGACTTGTTTTGCCTTTTTTTTTTTTTTTTTTTTTTTTTTAAATGGAATTATCCTCAATTCCTGCTTGCCCCTGGACCGCAGAGCCCCGTGCTGGGGGGGGGCAGCCAGCCGGGCCACTGCGGTCCAGGGCTGGGGGGAGGGGGGGAAATTTCTGGAATCGCTTCTTTTTTTAATTTTTTTTTTCATTTTTTCCCCCCATCCTTGCTATGCACGGAGAGCTCCTGCAAAGAGATTGCACCAAGAGATTTAACCATGGAAAAGGAAGATTTCCCCCTCTTTTCTCCTTCCCTTCAAGTGGGAATTTCAGTGTGCAAAAGCCATAATAGCTGCTGCCTTTAATAATGGGCTTCCCATAATTAGTATATGCGGCATATACTGCAAATCTGTATTATAGACGTAGGCACGCAGATGCTTGACGTGTCATCTTATTTTCTCTAAAACCTGCTAAAGGATGCCCTGCGCGCCTTCGCTCAGGACATGAAGTCATCAGTGGTGGTGGGTGGTGAAAAAGCAGAGAGACGGAGAGGGAAGGAATGGGAGAAGGTGGAAAGCTGCCATCGCCAAGTCCTTTTTCCAAAGCTGGCTGCATTTTTTTTTTTTTTTCCCTGTGCATCTTGCGCAACGCATTTGTGGAGTAAATTACGTGAGCCTCCGCGGGAGGAATCCGCGTCTTTACTGCGCAGCCTGGCAATGTAAATAAACAGGCAGGGGCGGGTGGGGGAGAGGGCGGCGGAGGATGCTCCCCCGCGCAAGTACTTAAATTTGCTCGCCTTTTGTTTTGCATTGTTGATTTTTCCTGCGTTTAATTGCTTTAATTTATTTTATGCGTGCTTTGATGCTAAGCGTTATTTGGTGCTAATGAAAGAGTTCCAGTGCGCAGTAAAGTAGTTGAAGGACGGAGGGGGAATCTAAAAATAAATAAATAAATAGAAAATCTATAGGCACGGCAAAATAGATCGTTTTTCTGCAAATTAGTTACAAAAGGAAGAGAATTAAAACAAGGGGCGGAAAGACTATTTGGGCTGATTCTGGCTTCTTTACGTTCCTCCTTTATGATCTTACCTTCCTCAGTAATAGCCCCAGCGCAGCCACAGAGGGAGAGGGAAAGACCAGCCTGCATTTCCAGAGCCCCGAATATCAATTATATCTTCCTATATTCGCCAAATCTGTTGAAAAAGTACTAAAATTTTGAAGCGAGTGGCTGTGCTAGATAAGGAGAGAAGTTCAGAATGATAGATCAGGGCATGTATTCATCTAAAAGGGCCTTTTAGTATATTTATTTTACACGGGAAAAAGCAATTCCAAAAGCCCGTGTGTTACTTTAATGAGGAAAGGGGAAGAAACCCAATGCGATGGTAGATTACTGGAGATTTCCTTTTTATTTTGAAGAATAATAATCACAGACAAGGGGGGGAAATAAAAAAGCAACGCGTCGCCATTAAATAATTTGCTACTTTGATATACAACATTTTATGTAGCACAATATTAATTCCTCTTCTTTTTTTCGTAGAGACTTGAACAATGAAGAAATAAATCCAAGTAAAAATATACACAGACAAAAGAGCATAGCAAGGAGAAAAGAACCACGGAGCTTACAGGGAGAAGGCGTAATAATAATTCATATTATGTACAGGACTATATACGCTAAGTATAATTTGCATTCAGACTTTCAGGTCACATTTTCTAAATTAAAGGTGCTAAACACGACCACGTTACTTCATACCAAAAAGTACACAGCGAAGTACAAACGGAGATTTACAAATTACTTGTACTATAGGAAGACTCACATAGAAAAATGTGTCTATTCTGACTCTAAAGCCACATTTAATAGGTAGATAGTCATTCTATTGTACAAAAAAAAAAAAAAAAAAAAAAAGACTTTAATATAGGTAGTATTTTCTTCAGTGTCAGGAAACACAATGTATCATTCCTAGGGGTTTTAATTATTTATGCACTTATCATTTATCTATTTTAATATATAGTCTTTTTCTGTGTGTTTTTTCCCCTCTTTTCTTCTCGCGTGGGTTTCCGCCTTTCCTGCATCCACCTCTCGCCCTTTCATTCCTCCTCGTCGTCCTCCGCGTCTGGTTTTTCCTGGCTGTTGGAGCCGGAGCAGGCAGTTTTATTTTCTTTTTTCCACTTCATGCGCCTGTTCTGGAACCAGATTTTGATCTGTCTCTCCGTGAGACACAGGGCGTGGGCGATCTCGATGCGTCTCCTCCTCGTCAGGTACCGGTTGTAGTGGAACTCCTTCTCCAGCTCCAGGGTCTGGTACCTGGTGTAGGTCTGGCGGCCGCGTTTTCTGTCGGTGCCTGGGAAACAAATGCAGATTTAAGTCAGCTGGGGGCTTGGGGGAGATGTTTTTGGGGGCTGCTGGTTTGGTTTGCTCTCTTGCTTTTGTCTTTGGAGGCACCTTATCAAGCACCCACCCACTGCAGTCCCACGAGGGGACAAAATCCTCGGAGGAGCTGTACAACCTGAGACAGCCCTTCTTTTTATTTGACAGATCAGCTCCTTCTGCTCGAGGCTCTCCCCATCTCACACTGCCTGTTCTCAGCCCCCAAACCACCCCAGTTTTAATTTGTCTTCATCTCGGAAAAGCGTGCAGTGCTTTTATTTTTTTTGTTTTTTGTTTTTGGTTTTGGTTTTGTTTTTGTTTTTTTTTTTGTGCTTCTGTGTGTGTGCCTGTGCGTGTCTCCGAGTGATCAACAAACTTCAGGAAGTTTCCTGCCCTCGTAGCACTGCTCAGGCTCTGAGTTCTCGCTTTTAAAATTTTCATTTAGACACCTGAAATTTCGGATGGTTGAGAAATAAATACAGAAACACAGTCGAGCAGAGCGAGAGAGGCATCTGCTACCTACACAAATCCAACTATTTGTCCTCTCTTAAAGCTGTCATCAGGGTGCCTGCCTGGAAGGTGTGTGATGGTCTATGTTGTTCCAGGGCATGATCTGGGCACAGAAGTGACTTCTGGGGCTGACGGGGGACTGCTCCCTCCGGGCTGATCTTGCAGGGGTGTGCGCAGATGAGAAGCACCTCAACACTTACTCCAGGCTCCCCAGTATCCTCCAGCTGCCTGCGAGCGGAGTTTGGAAAGGGCCCAGCTCCTAATTCTCCCCTCCACCCGACATTTCCTGAAGTCTCATTGAAAATAATTCTACAATATGGTGTTTGTGATCCTGACTCTATTTTCTATGTAAATGCTATGTATATCTATAGTATAATGTATTCTTTCCCAGAGCAGTGGGGATGGTGAACAGCAGCCCTCGGCCTCTCCTCCACACATTCCACCGGACTCCTCTTCTTCTCCCCTGTTTTTTTCCCCCATTCCTCTTTCTTTTTAAAAGAAGAAAAGATCCAGTCATTAAAAGGAGAAAAAAAGCAAAATAGCCAGGCTAGCTGTAAAGTAAAAATGTGCAGGTCATGGAATGTGGGTTGTAAAATCCTCTGAGGGGAGAGCCATAAACTGCTGCTGAATAGGGATGACAACTCTATCTCTGCTCGCTGATGAAATTCCACAAGCACGATCGCACAGTGGGCATGAGGCACGGGGAGGGGGACACACGGGAGGGGGGACCCCGCTTTTACAACCGAGGTCGAGTTTCTCTGGTTTTAGGCTCCGCAGATCCCAGAGCATCCAGGTTTTTTCGAGCGCAGGTCCCCGCGCGTTCGCCCTGTTTCCAAACCCTCTCTAACGTTGATCCTTGCAGCGTCACAGGCTGAAAGGGGGGCAAGTGGGGGGGCTTCTTAAATCTAAAGTCAGATAAAAGCAGAGATGAAGTGTTTACGAGCAGAAATATTCGGTCTTTGATAAATCAACTGTAAAAGTGAATGAATTATGGAGCAGGTAATGGAAAGAACTGACCACCAAATAAGTGTGAGGGTAACTCCTGCCTTTATAAGCCGCTGTACATTGACTGCTTCGCTGTTTTCTTTTTCCTCTGCTTCTCAGGGAGGCTGGCCCGCACTCCATTCGCCCCCCCAGGTTTTACTACCGAGCCCCTCTCCCCATCCGCGGCGGCGGAGGCAGTTTCACTCCCAGGGATGCTCTCAAGTTGCAGTCTGGCACGGCAGAGCCGAAGCCGGGGCGGCTGGAAAATGAGCTCCCGCCTCCCCCCCCGCTCCCAGCCGGGACAGCAGCGCCTTTCTCCCCCCCTTCTCAGGATTACACGAGTGTAAACACCACCACGCGTGTACACGGACACGGGCCGAGCTGCTCTGAGCGGGGGGGGAGCCCGGCCCGCAGCGCCCAACCCGGCCCCGCGGGGAGCCGGGACGCCTCGGGACCGCTCCCACGCGAGGGAAATGGATATTTATTAAATGTTAATTGACATTAATACCCTGAGACGGAGCGCGGCGGTGGCTGAAGGCAGTGCGGCCGCCCGGCGTTCAGCGGCTTTGGGCTTGAGACACACGTGCGGGGGCAGCGTGTCCCGGCGTGGGGTGTCCCCCGCTCCGCTCCCGCGGAGCACTGCGCGGCCTTCCGCGGAGCTGCGCAGCCCTGAGCCGCGGCAGGATCCCGAGGACCCCTGGCCCCCCCATCAGGGCCACGCTGAGCATCCCGTGGTCCCCAAAGAGCCTTCCCCAACGCGCAGAGTGCACCGCACCCCTCCGCGGTGATGTTTTTCGGGCGGTGGCACAGATAAAGGTGCTCCCCCCACTATATCCATCCATCCATCCATCCATCCATCCATCCATCCATCCATCCATCCATCCATCCATCCGGATTCCGGCCGGAGTGTCACCGTTTGGAGAGCGGGGCTTTTAATTGCCCCGGGAATGATGTGTGGCTGTTTCTGATGGCAACACGCTACGCTTAATTGCAGTGTCTGGGACATTGTGGTGAGGGGCTGGCAAATGAAGGTTTTGCAGTGTAACAGAAAACAAACCAAGCTTGCAAGCACCTCCCATAAATAGTTTCTTTCAGAATCTATATCTATATCTACACGGGGGTAGCACAATCTCCATCCTGTAAATATAGGAGAAGAAGGGGCTGGCCATTATTTCTGCAGCTCTGTCTGTCCCCTCAAAGACAAACTGCCTTTTGCATGGCACATACACAGCCCCAGCAACACCAATAAATATTTAAAGCTAAAAGGATGGCTTTATGGCGGGGATTGGGGGGGGGGGACCTGGGGGGGGGGGCTGTTCGCTCTCTCCCTCTCTCTTTTGAAGATGCGTTTTCGGTGAAACGTCATGAAAGGAGTTGGGGACAATTCCCCCCTCCCCTCCCCCTCCGTCACCCCCCGCGCACGCCATCAAATAATTTACACTCCCCCCCGCTCCCCCCCCCTCCCCCCGGGGCTCCTTTCTTTAGGGAGGCTGGGGCTTACCTGTGCTCCTCATCCAGGGGTAGATACGGAAGTTACTGTCGCTTTGCAAATCTGAGTCCCTCTGGTCCGTTTTGCTGCAATTCTGCTTGGAGGCATCTCCCGGGCACATCATGGAGAGGTTTTGCTCAAAAGGGGAACAGTGCATGTTGAAGGAGCCGGGCTCCAGGCCGTAACCGGAGGAATACATGCTGGGGGGCTGGGGGTGCACGGCGCTGCCACTGGAGTAGAGCCCGGGCATGGAGGCGGCGAAGGGAGGCGTGGATCCGGCCCCATACCCCGCTCGCTGGGTGTTGGAGGCGAAAGCGCAAGAAGTTTGCTCGGGAAAGACTCCGGATGGGAAAACCGAACTTGCGGCTTGATATTTAGAAAATAAAGCATTCGCATAATACAATGAACTCATAATTTGGCCGGGTGATTTGTAGGTCGGGACGTTTTAGTGTCGGTTTTACGAGGTACCGTGATATATTACGGAATTAGAGTCCAGATTTACACCAAAAAGGAGCCCTTTTTCCTCCCGGCCCATGTGACGCGCGGGCACGTGGCTCCGGCGGCGCCAATCGCCGCCCGCTCCCTCCTCGGGGGCAAAAAATTGTAGTGCTGCTGGATTTATAAAATATGATAAATAATTGATGCGATATAAAACCCTCCAAGATCTATGCTGGAAGGGGTGAAATTGTGCTGGAGTCGATAAGCAACCTGTAATCAGTTTTCAGCTCAGACCGAGGGAGAAAGAGAAAAGGGCGGGGGGGGGGGGGGGTAAAAGCACGTTGCTGATAAACCAGCGTCTCCCTCTCGGTCTCTCTCTGCTGGAGGAAAAGGAAGGGAGCTCTATTTATCCCTTTATTGATCCCGTCTAAAATTCCCTCCTTCGCACCATTTCCCCGGCTCCGAGGTACTTTTTCACAAGACTGTACATAATTCCCTTCCCTCCCCCTTGACCCTCTCCCCCTCTCCCCCCTCCCCCCCCCCCCCCCCCCCCCCCCCCCCCCCCCAAAAAAAAAAAGACAAATGTCTCATTGATACCTAATAGTTTCAGGGTTCTTTTTTCCCAAATGCCATTCAGCTCTATATCTAATTTATTCCAGTGCCACAGGCTTTGAGCTTCGTATTGAGCTGGCATTTGCTTTTCTTGTTGCGAAAAATAAAGAGTGTACAGATCCCTTGTTTAGCGTGTCAGCGGTTCTGCAGGACTCAATTACAGTTAGAAGTAAAACCTTACCAGCTGGCTGATTTGCTTTCTGCTGGAGAAGCAGAGACACCTTCCAAAATGTGATCTGCCTCAATTTTTTTGTAGGGGGGGTGAGGGGGGGGAAGGTTTTAGAAAGAAAGAAAGTCTTACAGGCAGGAAAAGCAGCTCAGACAATGGTGGATATGCATCTCGGGTTTGTGCTGTTTCTCCTTCCCCAAGGTTATGTTGCAAGGGGATGGGTTTGCATCCCCGCACTCCGGTATTGCCATGGCAGGGCAGCTCGGTAGGCGAAGGAGCAGAAAGCAGCTCAGCTGTGCGACTGACAATTATTTTCCTTTTTTTTTTTTTTTTTTTTTCGCAATGTGGGAGGAAAGGAAGGGGGACCCAGAGCTGGGCTTCATCTTGCGGGGACAGTAGGGTGGGCGAGCAGAGAGAGGGAAAGGAGGAAAGAGAAAGGGGGGGGTGGGGGGGGAAAGCCAAACAACACACTTTACCTTCAGGAAGGATTTCCACACAGCCTCCCAACCTGTCACCACCCAGGAACTGTTAGAAACAACAACAAGAGCAGAAGCCATCGCAGTTGCCCCGGCCCCCCCCCCCTTCCCCAAGGCTCCCAGGCAGCAGCTCCCCGGCCCCAGCCTGTCCCAGCAGCGCTCCAGCCCGCCAGCATCTCTCCAGGCAAAGAAGTCTTTGATGGCCAGGGCTGCAGCTCCGACACAATTGACTTTTATTTCCTTTCTATCAAAGTGGTCCTGGAGGAAATGGAGCAGGGTAAAAGAATGATGTCACGGAATTCTCGCTTGTAAACTTTATTGTAACTTTCTTCCGCCGCTTCCAGGTTTAGACAATAGAACAAAGTGATGAAAGAACAACAAAATATATCATTAGTTCCCCCAATAAAGTAATTCACGTATACAGTATACATTCTTTTTCACAGTTAACCTAAAGATCACTTTACAACTTGCTTCACTGTGCGCATGCTAACTAAAGGAGAGAAAAACGTGGGTTTTTTCTTGTCTTTTTTTTTTTTTCTTTTTTTTTCCCTTATTTTTTGGAAGAGACATTTAAAAATTGTAAACAAAAAAAAAAAAATCCCGAACCAAATAAAAGAAAAGAAGTAAGGAAAGTAAAGAGAGAGAGAGAAAGAGAGAGATAACTATAGCATAAATAGGCAGTTTCATGTTGTTGGGATGTTTGTTTCAATAGCTACCTCCAGTACATACAGATAAACCACAACAAAAAAGGTGGAAAAATAATTAAAAAAAAGTGCACAAATGTAATTTCACGTAACTCCTATAGCATTGAAAGCTATGTTAACCAACCCACCCCCCAGGAAAGAAGAGAGAGACAGAGAGAAAGACAGAGAGAGAGAGAAAATTTCACAGTCATGTTTTACATAAGCTATTGCGTTACACTACCACTAGTTAATAACTGGCAAAAGGCAGGAGAGACCTCCCGATCACTTTTGCATACTGTTCATTGTATCAAAGGATAATCAGGAAAGTGGTGCTTACAGCTATATTGTTTTACAGCAATAAAAGGTTTTTTTTTTTTTTTCCTTTCTCTTTTCTATGCATTGTTGGTTTTTTTCCCACCCCTCCCTTACATTAACTGCCATTAACGTAGGGCTCAGGGGCTCTTCCACCCCAGCAGCGCTTGCCTTTCAGTCCTTAAAAATCCTTTTATTTCTTGTCCGCCTTCTGTGCTTCCCCTTCCTCGTCCACCTCCTGGGCTCTTTCCATTTTCTGTTTTTCCAGTTCTTCCTGCTCACATTTGCTGCTGGGAAACTTGTCTTTGTTGTTTTCCTTTTTCCATTTCATCCTCCTGTTCTGGAACCAGATTTTGACCTGCCTTTCTGTCAATCCCAGGGCATGCGAGACCTCGATCCTCCGTTTGCGGGTCAGGTAGGGATTAAATAGAAATTCCTTCTCCAGTTCCAGCGTCTGGTAGCGGCTGTAGGTTTGCCTCCCCCTCCTCCGTCCAGCGGCTGCTGGGGAATTGCAAAGGTTGGGTGGAAGAGGGGAAGAAGAGAAGGAGGTTGAGAGATACATAAACCAGGCTCGGGAATAGGCACACAGAGGCTCCCACCCGCTCCCACACACTCACACACACACACGGACACGGGAGGGGGAGGAAGAAAGGACTCGCAGGAGCAAAGGCAGGAAGCAAAGAGGGAGAGGGAAAGGCTCCTGTAGAATATTATAAAAGGGAAGATTGTTATAAAGGAAAGGGGTGATGGTGGCAGGGGAGGGGGGGGTGACCCACCAGCCCACTCCAGCAGCCCAGCTAAAGCCTGCACTTGCACACTTATTATTACCCGAACCACAACAACAACAACAACAACAACAACAACAGCGTCCGGCTCTTCGGGATCCCGAAAAAAAAAAAAAAAAAAAAAAAAAGAGCTGCAGCCCGGGGAGAGCCAAGCAGCACCACAGAAATCCCAAATCAAACGCAAAACAAAAATGAAGGGGCTTTTTTGAGGCTATAAAAGTGCCATAAACTTTAAGGACGCTTCCTTCCACAGAAAGCCCGGTTCGCTCAGCCCCCAGAAGAAAAGGTCTCCTTCAGGGTAATTAAACTATAAAGCAATTTACAAGTGCAAAAGTTTACCCCCATAAAGCAGTAAAATACAGTCACTGGGGAAGAAAAAGGGAGCGAAAGAAAGCAAGCAAGCAAGAGGGGCAGAAAGAAAGCAAGAGGGCTACTTTCTGGGTTCAGGAAATGCCTCCTCGCTGTCCTCTCCATCTCGCCTCACCTTGCGGTCGCATCCAGGGGAAAAGCTGGGTCGGAGAAGGGCTTTGCTCCGAGCTCTCCGCCTCCTCTCCAAGGCCGCTGGCAGCAAGCTTGCAGTCCGTGTACTGCACCAAGTCCGACTCCTGGGCGCTGAAGAGGCTCTGCCTTTGCAAGGGGTCGTAGCCATAGAAGTTGCTGGGGTCCCCATGGCACGCCACGGCGCAGGGATTCTGTTGGTAAGGGGAGCTGGAGAGTGAGGATGCTCCGTGGTAAAACTCCTGGATTTGGGTCGGATGCTGGAAGGTGCCCCCCGTGCTGGGTCCGTACACCACCGTGGGTCTGCCCCCAAGATCCTGAGCGAACCCACAGTCATAGTAATTGGGACGCAAGGAGTCCCCGGTTTTGTATTTGGAGAAGAGTGAGTTGACAAAATAAGAGCTCATTTTAATTTAAATAAGAATATTTGTTTGGAGGAGGAAGAAAATAAAAAAAAAAAAAAAAAAAAAAAAAAGCCAACCAAACCAGACCACGGGAATCTATTAGCAAAAAAGAAAGCGCTAAGATGCTAAGCAACGACAGTTTGTGATTTCCAGGAATATAAAAGGAGGATATAATCAAAACTCTAAGCCTGCATGATATTGAATTCTTTCCTCCCCCCCACCCCTAAAAAAAAAAAAAATCGCCACTTAAAGAGTTCTCGCTTTACATTTCCAAGAAGAGATGCCAGTTCATAAACAGTTTTCAGTGATTTACTTCAGCGCAAATGAGTTGTTTCATATTTTGCAGTGTCTTTTCATGATCATTTGCATCTATTACCAAAACCTCATCCTATTGGCTTCTCCTTACTCCACACGGACTCTGCACTGCATGATTGTGAAAGGAAGAGTGTGAGAGAATAAAGAAGGAAAAGCAAGCGAGGGGGAGCGAGAGAGGGAGAGGGAGCGAGCGAGAGAGAGAGAGAGAGGGAGCGAGAGGGGAAGGGAGAAGGAGGTGGGGTGAATATACGGATTAAATATGTTTAACTACCTACATTAATGAGATATCGCTCGCCTCACAACAAATCACATACCTAGACCACCCAAAAGATTGATTTTTGGGGAGTGTTGGAAAATTAAAGAGAAGCGCTCGCAGTCGTTAATTTCAAAATTTTAACGAGGCAGTTTTAGCCTTTTTAAATGTCAGGGTCGCTTTGGAAAACTGTAAAAGAACACGATTTAATTGCTACCAGTTTTAAAAGGTCCTATAAATGTAATTGGTATTTTAATACAAGTTATCAAATCATACAGCTTCTTACCCTAAACATATTTTAAAACAAACGAGGTAGTCATATTTAACATTTTAATGATCAATTTCCTTATTATTGATAAAGGTTTAACTATCACATGAAGGGAATTGCATTTGTAATAGCCCCAAAAAAGGCTGTAAACTGTTTAACAAACTATAAAACGCCATAAAGCCGGGGATGTTGTTGTTGTTTATACCGCACTACATAAAAGCCGTTAGGATTTTACGAGTTCGTTCCTCTACTGCTATAAACCAGAGGTTTCGATTGGACCCGTCCGCATTATAGCGAGATGTTGAGGTGTCAATATTGAATTAAAATGATTATAGTTTTTCATATATAACATTGACTTTTTGTGTCTCTCCCGCAGCCCCCTCCCTGCCTCCTCCCCCGCCGAGGACTTGTTCAAGATGTGGTCGGGGATGATTGTGAACTAAAAGTATTGTGTCGCTTATCACATCCAGAACAGAACCTTGATGGTCAGTAACTGATGGCTCTTCCCTACCTCACCCCCTCCTCAGTAACTTCTTTTTTTTTTTTTTTTTTTTTTTTTTTCATGATACTTCTAATGAAAACTGAGAAGAAGAGGGGGATGGGGTAAGGGAGAGAGGAGAGAGGCTTTCTATTTTATTGGCATTTGGTAACAACGGAGCAAACTTACCCCTAAGATGCCAACGCTGCAATTTTCCACCATCTAAACACACAGGGGGTAGATTTTGAAATTCATTTATCGCAGTCAGCAAATATTACCGAGACGTATTTCAGCTAATAACGACACCAAACCCTCCCAGCCCAAGCGCTGCCCCAGCCTGCCTAACACCCACGACGCCCTCCAAGCCCCTCGCAATGCCAGCTATATTTTCCAATCCTTCAACCTTCAATAGGAGTTAAAGACACTCTTTTAAACACATTTTTTTTTTTCTTTTCATTTGCCCTGTGTGGATTTCTGCTGCTTCCCATTGCACCCATCCGTGCGGGTTTGACACGAGAAAGGTGAATTAAAGACGGTTTCACTCGTGCCTGCCTTGATCTGAGGGACAATTTTCAACCTCCACAACATGGAAAAGAGGAAAAAGTTGCGACGTTTCGGTTAGTCTGTCTTGCCAGGGCTTTGGTAAAAAAAAAAAAAAAAAAACTTGCATTAAAATTGGCAGTGGGAGTAGGCAGGGAATTAAGACAGAGAGGAAGAAAGAGAAAGAAAGAAAACAAAGATAGTAACGGAATAAAACTTTAAAACCATCCTTAGAGAAATAATTTAAGTAAATACGTTTCCTTTATTTTGTGTAGGGATAATTTCAGTCGAGTCTAAGAGCCTTTTCAAGTAATTATTGTTGTTGGAGTACTTGCAGTGGTATAATTAAGGCTTTTTCCCCCCTAAAAGACAAGTTAACATTTTATTTTTCTCAACACTTTTATTGTCGATTGAGCAGATTTTGGTTTCATCTTTGAACGTAAAACCCCAGAAATTGTGCACAGAAGTAAATAGAGATTTGCAGCCTGGCGTGGGGATGCTTGATGCTAGAATTTTCAAGAAAAAAAAAAAAATCGACTGAAGTATTTTTAGAAAATAAGCTATTTTATTCTATGTGTATTTACAGGCGTACTCCCATCTATTGAAGTTTGTGAAGTACAAAATAGCAGGAATTCCCGTTCAAGACCCCAAGAAGGCGAGAGTGAAGTTGTTCTTGGAAGTTAACACTTTTATCAAGTGCAGCAGAATTTTATGGTCATGATGTGATGGTAACTCACCAATGCACCAGAAATCAGTGGCGGATCTTAAATCATTCCTATACTGTACTCAGATTCCTGATGAAAGGAAAATGTTTCTATTATAAGAAAAAACAAGTGGGGATGTGTGTGTGTGCATGCGCGTGTGTGTCTGAGAGAGAAGATAATTTATAAATACCCAGTGGAGGAAAGATTTATTAGGAATTCACAAGGAAAAAAAAAAAAAAAAAAAAGAACCCCAAACCCTTCCCTAGGTAAACCTCAACTTTTCATTACTCTGCATTTTACTGAAAGCACAAGGACAGGATTTTTCTTTATTTCCCCCATCTCTTTCTGTTTACATTTGTATTCCATTTTATAGCATTTAAACAGGGTCTTGAGATGCCTAAACTTTGCCTCTTAAAACAACAGACCGCATCCTGTTCTGTTGTGTGTATCGGTTCAATTTGTTACATTCTGCCCCTGAATGCTGCTTATCGGGGAACGGATGTATTTTCTGGTGTGACTTCAGAGAAACATTTATTCAGAAAATCCCTGTTTATAACAATTTGAAAGAAAACCTATATTGAAATTATTGCCACCATTCCTTTCTATGTTATTTGTAGCTGAATCTGTAGCTGAAGGACTAAAACGTCTGAATAATTGTCGTCTTGTAATTTTGAAGAAACAAAGGTCAAAATAAAAGTGAACTAATGGAGTTAAAAGTTTACATTTTTGCTGCTACTGCGTCAGTAGAGTATTTATATATCTCACAAAACGTGGCAAGTTAATAACGTTTTGGATTAATTTACTATTTTGAAGCATTTAAAAATATTTCCAAACATATTAAGCAAAGATCTTGGGCGAAGAGCAGTAACATCATCAAAAGACGGAGCATCTATACCAAAAATGACCGGTTCAACTTCTAAAAAGCATATACTGTTTTTTTTGTTTTTTTTTCCGGCGGTGGCTATGAACCTAAAACACATAAAATAAAGAGCCAAGAAAGAGCAGATCGTCCTAATGGCTAAGGTAAAGAGCCAGGGAAAAACGTCTTGATTCTGTGTGTGCCTTTCTCCCCGAAATCTTGGACCCACTCTCTTTTCCAGTCCTGCAAACGTAAATCTCGGGTTTGGAGATAATGAAGCTGTCCTCTCACCGCCACCCGAACTAGCAGAAGACAAAACCCGATGTTTTTTTCTCCTCTTTAAATGAACATTTAAAATAGATGTGTGTCCCACCCCTCACCGCATCCCAGCAGAGCCTCCAGATTAACTCTTTTTTTTTTTTTTTTTTTCCCCTAAACCTCACATAATTTACCCTCGCAGGGAAAAATAGATGTAACCTATAAAATCGGCAAAATGGCTATAATTAACCCTATATTTTATGCCTCGGGATTATTCATGCTCGCCGGCAAACAGCCCAGTTGCTGCCTCTAATGAAATCAAGGTGTTACGCGGAGCCCCGCGGCCGAGCGCGGGAGACGCGCGTCTAGCGTGGAGCAAGGGCGCCACCTCGCGGCGCGTCGCGGAGCTGCAGCCTGCGCCGGGGGGCGCAGAGCGGGGCGGGGGGGGCGCAAAGGGGGGGGTCCCGCTCCGACCTGGGGAAATAAAAACAGCCAAAAGCGAGGGGAGGAAAAAAAAGGGAGAAAAAAGAAAATGGAGCTGTTCCTCCTCGCCCCGCAGCGCTGAAGTTTTGAGCGCGGGAAGATCTCCCTGGCAATAAAAGAGGCAAAATGGGTTTGCTTTTGAAAACCACTATTGTTTCAAATTCCGAGACTAAACAATTGGTCATTCTGCTCTGGAGGGGGAAGGCCGGGGCTGTAAACCGATAAAGAGCTTCCCAAGCCCAGACGTCTCGCCAGAAGTTGGAGTGTGTGAGTGGGGGGGGGGCCTGTGTGTGTGTGTGTGTGTGTGTTGTTGTTGTTGTGTGCATGGCTCAGCGTTCTGGCAGCCTGGAATTGCTTTAAAGAAAAAAAAAAAAAAAAAAAAAAGAGAGGGAAAAAAAAAAAAAAGAACAAAGGGAATCATCCAGAGCGCTGGATTTTCACGGCATCTGCAAGAGAAGAATAAATTAGCAAAAGTCCCTCCCCACCTTTTCTCTCCCTCTCTTCTTCCCCCCTCCCCATTTTTTAACTACCCCCTCCCTTAAGAAAAAAAAAAAAAAAAGGGGGGGGGAGAACTTTGTATGTGACTGAAGCAGAAACAAGAGCATTTACACGTTGGGTTTCCCCACATTCCCAAGTCGTTGTAGTAATTTAGGAGTTCCTGAAAGTTTTCTTGCACTGTTTGCTTTACAGCCGTTTAGTTCCTTAACCTTCAGAAATTTATACCCTATAAAGTTTTATAGCGGTCATATTCTTTTATTGCAGCACACTGCACTGAATTTTCCTTTTTTTTTTTATGACAAGTTACTTCCCTTTCTCTCTCTTCCCTCAGTAAGCTCCAAATATCTTTCTTCTTCTTTTGTTTTCTTTTCAGAGCTGCCCCAAAGAAAGGATTTTTTTAAGAAGTGAAATATTGCCCTTTAGAGCGCCCATTATGTTAAAAATTAGTGGAAAGAGATTCTTGGTTATATTTCTCCCTACCTGCTTCCTGCAGGGCTGAGCAGGTCTTGGGGTTTGTTTGTTTTTTTTTAAAATATAGAGATAGAAACACTTTTCAAGCGCTTGTATTTCTTCATGAGCAATAAAATGTCAAACGAATTTAGAGACGGAATTATAGGAACCGCTCATTGAGCCCTTGGAAAAAGGAACCGCGTGTCAAATCCGAGGTGATGCCAAGCAGAGAAAGTGGGGTGGGGTTTCCCACTGTTTGTTTTGGGTTTTTAATTTTTCTTTAGCAAAGTTTTCCTTGGGTGGTAGAGGAATAAACCAAAGAAAGTCAAATAAAGCCAGTCTTCTCTTCACTTTTACTTCTGGTCCCCTAAGGCTGATGCGGGAATACAAAGATTAAACCCTCAAAAACAAACAAATAAACAAACAAACAAACAAGCAGCCACCGGTAAATGTAACCAGAGATTAACGATCCCCAATTTTAAAATAAAAAGTATTTCGAAACGCAGCAAGTTTGCCTGGGACCAAGTAAGCACTTGCTACACCGAAGAGGAATTATTTCCATTTGTCTCTGGACATTTTTTTTTTAACTTAAGTAAAAATTGATTCTTATAATACATTTAACGAGCCACTAAAGAACGCAGGAAAACACAATGAAAATATTTCTGAAATTTTAGATGAAGCAGTATAACACAATGACATATAGGTGCTGTTGTTCTAAAATCGATTTTTATTCTGGAGCATTAAACATCTCTGGAAAATACATCCGGGCTGATGCTACAGAAGACAATTTTTCCAACATTTTTTAAGTAAGCATATTTCCTAATAAAATGAACTAACATTTTAAATTCTATTTAAAAAGAACCTTATATTGTCGTCTTAAAAATATCCGCTCTTTACCACAATACTAAGGAAAGTGAAAAACGTTTCTAAATCCGAGTGGCCGATGGGTTGCAAGCACCAATTAAGTCACAGATACGCGTCTGAAAAATATAGTAATGAGGATTTAGGCAAGTCCATACTCAGTTCGAGATATGAGAAATACACCAATTCACATGAAACAGATTGAAATTTCATCCATTCTTGAGAAGAATCCAACAAAACTGAAAAATTTGACTGCCCAGCTTAAACACAGCTAAATCACCATTTTCAACCCACTTATTTTTTTTTTTTTTTTTTTTACTTTACATAAATCCGGATTTAGAGAAATGATCCTGCTGCCACCAACTTTTTTTCCCCAACTCAAAATGTCTGCGAAACTGCTTTTCTTAACTGAGTTTCGTGGAAGGAGTTTAGGGGCTTTGACACAGGGTGAAGTTTGGTTACATTTATCTCTCTCCGGCAACAGAACAGTTAAATTTTGAAGCCCCCAAGGATCTACTTCACGATGGAAAGTTTTACGTGAGAAAGTCTAGGCATTAAAAAAAAAAAAAAAAATCTGAAAAAACAATAAACTTTCTGAGGAATGGTCTTAAACACCTACGGTCTGGTTTCTTGTGAGTGGAAGATTTTTTTTTTTGACCCCTTTCAAGAGGAAATGAAGTGGTGGAAATTTCAGTGCACCGAGGCGCAGCTACTTGATTCTTATCTCTGGATCATGGTGGGGAGGGGGGAGAAAAGCAGGAACACTTTCCAAAAACGCAAATCTGCCTATCTCTCCTTCCCAGAGCAATCGCTGTTCAGCAGATAAAAGTGGTCTCACAAAACCTGACGCTAAGGATACACGAGTTAGTCGCTTCTGAAATCAGGTTTGCAATGGTTCGTTCAGATATACAGCAGGAATACATTTCTTTTCTCTATTTTTTTCCCCCACCCTATTAAAACAAGCCACCTTACACTCGCCTTGTTCCTAGAAAGCCTCCTGGCAGCTAAATATACAAATTTGCACACGAAGAAAACGAGAGAGGTTTATTTCGATATTTTCCATCCACTATCAACTGCAGAACTCTTCGCATACTTAAAAAGCCACAGTAGAAACAGAAAACGAGCTTCAACATTCACAGAAACACAACCACAAACACATTTTACAATACCCACCATATAATCAACTGGTACTAAACCCCCCCGGCCCCCCCCCCCCCCCCCCCCCCAACCCCCCCCCTTCCCAAAACAAAGTTAAGTCTTACAGAGATAAAGGGAAACCAGTCCCGCACGGGCGGGTTGGAGAAACCTCCAGCGCATCTGTCAGATGAGAAATCAGCTCCGGCCGGCATGCCATGAGAGCAGCAAGGTCTATATTTGTTACTCTAAACGCTTCCTCGGGCTGAGGATGAGGATGAGGATGGGGATGGGGATGGGGATGGGGATGGGGGGGGCGTAGCGCGGAGCCGCCGCATCCCCCGGTGCCACCCACGGGACGAGGCTCCTTCCCCGGGGAGGCGGCGGGGCCCCGGCCCCGGCGTGGCACTGGCCCCACTGGAAAGCGGGTGGCAATGGGAAAACATGCCGGGAGCTCGCTTCAGGCGGAAAAAAAAAAAAAAAAAAAAAAAAAAAAAGACAACCAAAACCCAACCAAATAAACCCAAAAAGCCAACCCCACCCCAACAAAACCCCACCGACATTCAAGTATTGAGAGCATCTCAGCGAACAGGAGGGGTAAGAAAAACACTCAGGCTAGGGTTGGCACTTTATCTCTGCAACAGCCTACTGCTTTAGGAAAAGTCAATTCACAATAAATTATAAATATGCTAGCACTAAGAACACAACCTTCCCCTCCCTTATAGTTCTACTAAGGTAGTTTTTTAACTAGAAAATCCCATTCTTCCTCTTCTCTAAAAGTTAGGAATAAGTTGGCAGGGGTTCTTCCGCCCCTTTTTCTCCTAAATAATTTACAATGCGGCTCTGAGAGTGCCCCCCACACACTCTCTCGCCTCCCTCCCCGTCTTTTCTCCTCTTCCAAGTGACCCAGTATAAAACTACCAGATGAGGAGGTTTGCCTGTAGAGATCCTACTAAACTTTCAGGTCAAAGTCACATATCTGCCATGGCACGATTCAAATAAAAATCCCGCATAATAAGACAAACCAAAAAAAAAAAAAAAAAAAACAAAAAAACGAGGAGGGGGAGGGAAGAAACCCGGCGCAGTTGGGAGTTGGGCTGTCATTAACCGACTACCCCGGTATAAAGTTGGCGAATTGAAAATGATTTGTTGGGTGCAATTAAACGCGAGTCTTACGAATGTGTCTGTCTTGCAGGAGTTTAATTAAATCGTCTGGTTCCTTGGCCACCTCAACGTGTGAGTGTGAGTGGGTGAGTGTGTGTGTGTGTGTGCGCGCCGGGGTGTTGTGAATGTTATAGACAATCATTGTCCTTACGTGGATAAAGAAAGACAGCGAGGTTTGGTGGGGGCTTGGGCCGGGGTTGTTTGTGGCCGGTTGTGTTTGCCGTCTTGCTTTCCATGGAGAAAATGCAAGCAGAGAAAGCTGCTGCTCAGACAGAAGCCTGTGTCTATGTTACACTGTAGGGAGAAGAAAAGAGAAAGGAAAAAAAATAGGGAAAGAAAACAAGAGAACAGAAACAAAACCCAGCATGTGTCCCCAAAAAGGAGCTGCAGTTTTGGCTAAGTCGCCTCCTATGTGGCAATACTAAGAGGGTAAAAAAAGAATAATAAGCAACATCTCGCATGCAAAGGTGGAGATGGGAAACGGGGAGGTTTCCCCCTCGTGTTTGGGGGATTTGGCAGCACTACAGTGGGGGTGCGCGGCCGCGGAGGCGGGGAGCTGGGGGGGGAGGGGGTGGGGGATGCTGCTTTTCTGGTTTTTCATTCTTTGCCCTGTTCCTTGTTCATTTTCTTCATTTTCATCCTTCGGTTCTGAAACCAGATTTTGACTTGTCTCTCACTCAGGTTGAGGAGTCTGGCCACTTCGTGTCTACGGTCCCTCGTCAGGTACATATTGAATAAAAACTCCTTCTCTAGTTCCAGGGTCTGGTATTTGGTGTAAGGGCATCGTTTTTTCCTGGAGGAACGGGCGTGCAGCCAGCTGGCAGCTGGGTTGGCTGAAAGAAAAGCAGCAAGATCAATACGATGCAGCTTGAGTGTTTCTCAGAAGGTTTTAATCATGCCATCAAATATTAAGATTATACATACGCATATGCACGCCCGGGTGAAAAATGCTCCCTGCCGTAGGAGCGAGCAGCAGAGGCCCCACGAAAAATCACACGGGCTCCTCAGGGCGAGCACAGGCTGCGCAGCTGGGGTGGGGGCTGATCCCCGAATACCACTGCACACGCACCCCACACCCCATCCCTCCCGCGTGGGGTGGGGGGGAGGAGAGCTGAGACCCGCGGACCCGCGGGTCTGTGTTGGTTGTACGCACAGACTTGTGTCTGTGCACACCCACGGCTGCGTGCACACGCGTGTCCTGGAACATACATGCCTGCACACACGTGTCTGCGCACACACATGTTTGGGAGCACACGTGCCGTGAGCAGAGCTCCCCCCACTTTTTCCCAGGTCCATCTATGCCAGGTAAACACCCACATGCACTTATAGATTTGCATAATGCCCATCTGCACGTTACGCATGCTATATACAACTAAACCAATCAAAAATTATATATATATATATATATATTTCAGACATGTTTTCCCACGTGTCTGCAGATTTACTCCTACAGACATATCGAGCAGGAAAAGAGCAGAGAGAGGAGGTCTGGCGAAACATTTCATAAATCCTGCCTATTTTTTGCTATGTGGCAAGAAACGGTCTTGATACAATAAACATCCTCTGAGGGCTGGATGAACTCTGCTGCCGGAGATCTGGACAGTGTTACCCAGAGACACGGACATTTGCAGGGCTACAAATGCAGCCAAAAATAAATAACAGGCTGCCCGTCACCCTCGCGTGTGGGAGAAGTTACGTGGGAATCTTTTGGAGAAAGGGCATTTCAGGAATTAGTCTGCTCACGGGGTGTGGTGGGGGGAGAAAACAACATTTTAGGAGCAGAAACCACCTCCACAGACACGGTGGTGGTGACGGTCGCACCCAAAGGTGAGGTGGGTTCAGGGTAAATAACAGAACATTTACTAATCACATGCAAATATTATCTGACCGTTGGGCAATTGAGAGGCGGGAAAGAGTAAAATGAAGGGTTATAGACAGACCACGTATTTCTATTTTATTTCCTTTGCCTCCTCTGAAATTATGACTGAAGCCATAAACCTTTACACCAATTAAATGGACCATTATAAATATATACATACACACACGCGTGAGCCATCAGAACGTTTCCTCTACGTAAAATGAAATATATTGAATATTTTTAAAAAATAATCCGGTTAATCTTCCCCTGTAAGTACTGCCTCTTACAAATTTGCACGGCTATTTCCTTAATGTAATTGACTTGATCTAATATGCAGAATTAAATATTAAAGAGGAAGAAAGCTGTTAATAATTGATACTGTTAATCCTGCTACCCATCCTTTAATGGCAATGGAGGACTCTGCTTCATAACAGATTTTTATTCTCTTTGGTTTTATTTTTTGGTCATGTTTTGGATCATTAAAATATAAGATATTTTAAATGCCAGTGTTGCTTTATCTATTCACTATACACAAATCCCTAAACAGGAAAGTGAATGGGAAGAGGCTCTGGCACATCTTTTCTTTAAAATCCAGCAAATAAATTAACAGATCCCTGTGCCATACACAGGGCAGAGATTCATTATGAAGAAATACTTTCAAAAATTGAAAGAGTCAGGGAAATTGGTGGGAGTACTTGCTGCAAAACAGCTCCGTCTTCCAGCCCTGGCAGACTCTCAACATCAGCCCAAATTAAACTATTATTTAAAACAAAATATGCGTCGTAACCACATGCCATAGAAACCACACAGCATCCTCTTAGCGCGGGTCCCTGCACTTACTTATAACTTAATAACATTTTCTTGGACAAGATTTTTATATATTCAATTTCAGGGACATTGAGCACAGAACCTGGATATTTAATTCTCTCAAATCATTCACCTCACGGTTGCAGTTTGTTCTGGATCTCTGCCCAGTACAATAGAATAGGACTTTCTTGTTGTGTGTGTGTGAGTGTGTGTGTGTGCCCGTGTGTCTGTGCGCAAGTTAAATGATAGGAAAAAAAAAAAAAAAAAAAGTCACCATAACATCCTGCACAAGGAGCGGAGGAAATCATGAGGGGCGAGAATATACTGTATTTTTAATCGTATGGCTGCAATGGCAATCTCTGTTGCTGTTCCACGTTGCGGGGGGGGTGGGGGGGGGCGCGTAAAATAGAAGTTAATTCAAGGGGAAAAAAATGACTGTGTCAGTGAGTCCTGCACAGGCTCCGAGGAGTTATACCTTCGGCGGGGGCTGCTCCTCTGCCAGTTTGGAAAACTTTGGATTTCACGGCAAAATATTTACTGTGGGGGTGAAGCCAAGTTTCTCTCTGTGCCTCCTGCTCGGGCTTTGGCTCCGGTTTACCTTTCAGATGGAAACCAGGTACCAACCGGGTCGGCAGGAGGTGAAGATACTGATTCTGTTTTACTTAAACGCCATTGCATTATTATTATTATCATCACTATAATAATTATTATTAATAATAATTGAATTATTAATAGCATTATTGATAGTACTATTAGATATTTTCAAGGCGAATGATTTTTTTTTCTATACTTCAGGGGAAAAAAGACAAAACAGCTCGCAGAAAAAGCACATGCTGAAGTTTGTTTTCTCAATCTGGCTACATTACAAATAAAAGCTAATTAAGTTGGAAGCACCCCCCCCCTCCCTCCTTTTTTTTTTTTTTTTTTTTTTTAATAAGGAAGGAGTGTGGCTTTGAAATATTCATACCCTGAACCGTTGCATTTAATAAACAAACAATTAAAAAGACCAAACAAACAAGCACTAGGAACCAAACAAAGACACCACCACGGAAGCCCGAGAGGAGCGAGCCGGTCCCCGCATCTGCCGCGTACACCGGCACGGCGGGCGCGGAAAAGCCCCCGCTGCTGTTTACTTCCCCCCACGTGAACTTTTCCTCCGTAATTTCTCCTCTTTCCCCCCTTCCTCTTCTTCTCCCCCGACCTTCACCCTCCGCTCCCCTTTCCCTACCCTTCTCCCCGACATTTACTGGCTCCCCCCGTCCATCCCCGTCCCCACCGCCCGCACCCGCACAGATTTACTCCCGCTTACTAAAGTGGTCTCTGCTGCCGGAGCCAGCGCTCTGTAGGAAAGAGGATGACTCGCTCCAGCTTTTGTCCTCTCTGGACTCTGTTTAAGCTCAGAGACGACGCTCATTTTTATTTTTATTTTTATTTACCGGCAGAGACAATGCCACCCCTCTCCCCTCCCCACCTCTCCCCTTAGGTTGGCATCAGCAAGCTGAGACTTTTCTTTAAGCCCTGATTTTAAACTTTACGCAGCATTGTCCCCTTTTATTGCACCTCCTCCAGCTTTTATACTGTTTACTTCCTCACTTTTATAACTTACTTTGATCTGTCCTGTCTTTGTCTTCGCTTCCTTCACAAACTTTATTGTCCTCGAAGCTGGGCCTTTGATTGGAAACGATCCCTTCCCTTGCAGCAGAAGTTTCTAAATTGTACTCCTGTGTTCCCTGTTTATGGACATCCCCGGGACGGCCCAGCAGCGGCTCTGCCTTAACAGATCCCTGCCCGGGGAGGTTTTCTGCTCTGGGTACTGGATCCAGCCAGCTCCGTAGATACCTGCTATCAGATGGGACGCTTTGATGTTGAATATATGGATGGTAGACGGCAGGAAGGGTACCAGAAGAATGTGGATTCAAAGGAGTCCAGGAGGCGCTGAAAACTGGAGGTTTTGGCTGAAAACTACAGGAGGGGAATTCTAGATGTTCATTGTGCCCAGCTTGCCTGGAACTGGTGTATTGCCCAGATGAAAATTTAGCTGAAGGCGAGTCTTCACTTTCATGACTTATAATAGAGTCGACATAATAATTGCTAAGAGTCCCAGAAATGGACATTCTCAGACATCATACAAAGCACGGTTCAATGAAGGGAAAAAAATATATAGGACAGATCTAGATTTGCACTCTACCCCCTTCTCCAACTTCCCAGCCAACAAAGTACAGTTGGGCTGCTGTGTTGTGAGCTCCCAGCAAAATGATTGGTCAAACTTTTTTCGTGTGCCTGATAAAGCGTCAGTCTCGGCGTAAATCAATCGAAGCCGAGGGGGCTGCGCTGCGCTGTCATCCGCCCTTGCATTCCATATCAAGGATGGATTGTTTTATGTTTATGCAATGTTGCAAAACGTCAGGAGTTTCGAAAAGCCACCAAACGGGCAGAGCTAGGGCTAATATCCCTTCCTAGATTTGCTCCTGAAATATTAGGGGGGGGTCCGGAAAGGGGGGGAGGGAGCGGATTTTTTAATTTTTTTTTTTTTAAAAAGAAAGATGCTGATGTGCTCGCTTTGCCTTTAATAACCATCATAGGGGAATAGAGATAAAAGCTATTCTTTGCCACTCGGGCTCCAGAGTACGATAGCAAAAAAAAAAAAACCAAACAGAGAATAAGTAAAACTAACGCTTCCCGCCCCGCCCGCGCCTGATTTCATATACATACATGTGTGTGCATGCATTGCATGCATCTAGACATAAATGCACGCATACATGCTCTTTTGTAAAGAAAAAGATGGATCTAGGTAGCAAGAGTGGTGGGGAGAATGTTATAAATAATTAACCAGATGGGATGGGAAAATGGATTGTTAACATGGTAAAATAATGTGGGTAAATATGAAATTTAAAATGTCACTGGCACGGACGTGGCATTGCAACTTTGACCAGCAAGCTGCCGAGCCGCAAGCCCTGTGTACATCCAGAGCCTGCCTTAGACTTTATGCTTGTATATATATATAAAACGTCTTTAAAATATCTCTGTATAAGAACATATGTTCACATGTTTCACGGCATAATCTCAGGGTTGCTTTGCTTGGGCTAAAATAGTTCCCCACATTGCTGAAATCAGAAGCCTTCATTTAACTTTACAAGGCTAGTAAAATACAGTGCGCCACTGATCCGGCTTTGTTACAGAATGCCTTAAACTTGTGATGGTTAAATAGTTTAATAAAACTTACATTAGCTTTCTTTGATTTTTATAGCCTTGAATTTATTGCCTGTGGAAAAGAAAGGGGGCAAAAAAAGGAATCCCTCGCGTTTTCAGTCACCGTGCCCCCCCTCACATCTCACATGTATGTGCCCACGGTATGTGAGCGTGTCAAACAACCCCCCAAGCTTGCATTTTCCGTGCGTTTTCGAAAACCCGACGATTTCGGGTTTTTTTTCCTTCCACTGAAGCGAATGATTGACACGGGGTTAGAGCTCGGTGCGGCTCCCAGCCCAAATGATGCGGGGTAACGGGGTCAGTTTTGCCAAGTTATGATGATAAATCCGTTTATTGCAAGATGGTCCGATGGCGTCGTAAATGTTGGTTAAGGAAAAGGTGCTCTCTATGATTACGGCAAAAGTGTTTCTCTGGACTTCAGCTGTAACAGTCTGGATCAATTTGCCTCCTTTAATCTATTACCCCTCCGCCCTTCTCCCTCTCACCCCAACACTGAAGGATATTTAAAGTGAAGGGCAAAGAGATTTCTAGGAATGATAAATCATCGTGAATCCTTCCTGAAGTGTATAGAGAAGGAAGTCTATATTAACAGGCTAATAATAACATTGAGAGGTGCTAATAGCTGCCTGAAATGAAGGAAAAATATATTTCACATTTCTCTCTGTCTGTATGAGAGTGTGGGTGCCTGTGTGTCCATATGTCCGTGCCTACACAAAACGGATGTGGGAAATTGCTATCAGAGGTGCTTTACTGAAACTGGAAGATTATGAAGGCGCTTAAAAGCCTACACTCAAAGCCTTAGATTTTTCCTTATTTCTATAAGCGGGGCTTTTCCAGGAGCATCTGCCCTGCAGCCTGGTGGAGGGACACGTTTCCCCATGTCCAGGACCAGAGCTCCTCTAAATGAGGCGCTATTAGGAAGCTGTCCATTTTCATTTAAAAAAAATCGAGAGGGTCGTGATGATGGGCAAGGAGAGCCGGAGCTTAATGCCGGAGGTCAGATTTATTTTTAATTTTTGCATCCATCAGGGTAGCAGGAGCCCCCCACCCAGCTCAAATTCCCCCCTGTGCTGGAGGAGCAGGCTCAGTCCGCGGGCTCCAGCCAAGGTGAGGTTTGAGGAGAACTTGGGGACCCCTCTGCAGCCTCTGGGCTAGGATCCTGCCAAGCCAGCCGTGGGTAAAATGTCACCAGGTGAGTACTCCCCATTGCCCCGCAAACCCTCCTTTCCTTTCCAGGGGGGTTAATCCAAAGTAACTCCACTTCACCCCTTTCGCGTTTAAACTGGTGAAGGCAGAGAAATCCCCTGCCAGTGAGCAGCGTGGGGCAGGATCGCTGCTCTCTCCGGTGCATCTCCCACGAACAGGGGGGCTGTGTGAAACAAGGGGAGAAATTCCTGTTTTTTCCAACTTTTCACATTTCTATCTCCTCTCACCTCCCTGCCCCCTCCTCCCTTCTTTTAACTTCCTTAAGAGTTGGGAAGGTTTTGAAATGAAAAGACCCTGTGTCATCAGACATGAAATACGAGCTGGTTGCTCACATTGTCATATTTCTCCACTTTATTGCCTTTCAGAAATGATTTTTAAAAATCAGGCTATTTCACAAGAGATTCGGAGGGACTCTGCAAATGTTATGAGAGTTTGGGAAAGGAAAGGGCTGATTTAAGTCTGTTGTGGAGATTAAACTCGCTTGGCACATGGAAATGTGTTTATACAACTGATGGATAAACAGCCGTGTTGGTAACAGGGTGTTGAATAAGTATAGATGAAATTATTGAATGTTAATTGAAGCAAAACACCTGTTCTCTGTTTGCTAGATAGATTGGCCATGTCTTACCTGTAATAAATATATTCTTGGAAAAAATCCTGGTGCGCCTCCTATAAATAATGATGAACTATGTCAGCATGTGAGTATATAATTTTCTGTAGTATATAAATTTAAACCAAGAAGACTCCTAGGAGTGTGGCTGTGAGGCAGAAACCAAGGGTTTTCAGATCCCTAGTGAATGGAAACCTCACAAGAAGATCTGCAAAATCCATTTGCTTTTGCTCCTCTGGAGGTTTCCGTTTGTTCAGTAGTTTATTTTTTATACATATCCCCATAGCTCATCTCTTTGTAGCCTTTTCTGAGAGGGGCTTAAGGCAAACTACAGCTTCATCCCAGGTCTGCCTGCTTGGAGAGACCACGTATTGTGGTGCTGCCTGCTTCAGATGACACTATATAGGCGTTTATATTTTCAAGTATCAAATAGAACCCCTCAGAAATTACATTAAACCTCTTCTGCCTGAAAAAAAAAAAAAAATAATGGAGAAGGAAAAGTCAAGGAGAAAGTGACCTCAGAGCAGAGTCTAAAAGTCTAAAAGTCTAAAAGGATGAATCTTCGGGAGAGAGGAGGCAGGATGTGCAAGCTTTGCTCGGCTCGCAAACTAGATTAATTTTAGATATGCGATTGTTGTGAGTTGGTAAAGGGAAGTGGGACTGGAAATAGTTATTAAAAAAAAAAAAAAAAAAAGTCCGAAATGGAAACTTTTTCCTGCTTTCAGAATCAGCGCCAAGTGTATTTGGCTGTGAGGAAAAATTCGGAGTATTGTCAGCTTGCAATGGAAAGCCAGAGGTTTCTGAACTCAGATACTGTTTATAAATAATCTTTATTGTTTGTGGAGAGAAAGAATCATTTCCAAATAGTGCTTTGAAATGAGCAACTGCCAAAATCCATCCTTAACAAACAAGTATGTGGATTGGCATTTCTAAGCTGAAAACAACTGAATATATTTTTTTTTTCTAAATATGCAGATTTTAAGTCTGTGCAATTGCCACCTTTTATTGATTTATAAGTTTTGGCATAAGAAAGAAAGAGAGCGGATGAGCCACTTCTTACCGGAAACATATTTAACCACTTTTAAAAGACGGTTGTTATTATTTATTAGAACTGGCACCTTCTTCCAGCTGATTTTGCCTCTTTATCACTGAAATGGAGAAGGTGAGGAGACCTGGGGGTGCAGCGCTTTCCCCCCGTCCCGCTGCACGGAAAGGGCAAGACGGGGGGGCTTCACCAGGATCTTCACCCCAAAAGGCCGACACGGCGTCGGGGTGTAAACCTGCATTACTTCAGGCATATTTACTTGTGCAGTTTAGGTTTGGAAGCCGATAAGGATAAGCTAAGAGGGGATAAAAACTGAGAGTGAACTTCATGGCTATGGAGAGTCTGGAGACCAGATTCTGAGATAACTCAGCCTTCAAAGGGCTGAGCGTTTATTTTAGGCGATATAAAACATTCCGAAATTATACTAATAATAACAATAAGAGTGATAATCACAACAACAGCAAGCAAATAACTCTTTTTTTTTTTTTTTTTTCAAAGAGTCAGGAAACAGAAATAAAATCTCGGCATAAAGCAAACATAATTTATGAATGATACATTTAGGCAAGTCTAAGAGGTTATGAAAGAAACTTCAGTCACAAACCCCTCCAAACGCACGAAAGCGCGACAAAAAATCCCTCCTGAAGAGTAAATTTTTTTTTTTTTTTTTAAAAAGTGAAATAAGTTTCTGTAGCCTACAAGCTGAAGGATCTACCTTTGCCATTTCCTGTGCTAGCTCTCAGTTTGAATGCTGCCGTCTGTTAAAAATCCGTAAGTGGTGAGGAGGGAGGGAGGGGGGGGAATTCCTTGTCTGAAGAGAAGCAAAAACAAGTTACACATGTGGGCAATTTTCCAAGGACCGAAAGTATACTCTGGCTAAAAACCCCAATTCCAAATGAGGTTTGTAATCTCAGCAGTTAATAAAGCATTTAGATCCCCTGTAAAGTAAAAGCGTATGTGCATTTGAAAAGGGAAGCTGGAAGGACAGAAAGTTTAAATAAAGTTTGATTGTTGTTCGGGAACCCACATTCTGGCTACTAGACTAATTTCCACCCCCCCTCCATCGCCTCCCTCCTTGAAATAATATTCAACTGCCATGAAATAGCTGGGCGCCTGCCTCGCTGCTGCAGATCTTACACCCCGGGAGCTTCTGGTCCAACTGCTGC